CAGTATCTCAACTGAAGTTTTAGATTCATTTTCACACGTGCCCGCTAAAGCATGGCTTCTCAAACTTTTTCAGTCACTGAGCCCTTTTTGAAGCAAAAGTTTCTAATGAAGCCCCAAGAAATATTTATGTATTATATTATATACCATATATAATGTATATATATCAGGCATAGGCAAACTTTTTAACACATTGCATTTTAAAATTTGACAGATTGACTGGGTCAGTGGCAGGTGGATGGAGAATGTTTGTGTGAAATAATTGAAAAAAATGAACAAATTAATATACATACTGCACATAACTCATTTCTAGTGCAAAAAAGGAATAAAAAACAATATTTAAAATGAAGAATAGTTTTAACCAACACAAACTTAACAATATTTCAGTGGAAGACACCAGAGGCCATCCAGTACAACCACCTTCTGTCATGCAGGAAAAACACAAAGTGCCCTTGGCAGATGGCAATCCAACCTCTGTAGTAATAGTAGCAGTAGTAGTAGTAATAATAATAATAATAATAATAATAGTAATAGGAGCAACTCGAGAGGCCATCTAGATCAACTCCCTTCTGCAATGCAGTAAAAGCCCATTCAAAGCACCCCCAACAGATGACCACACAGCCTTTGTGATAATAATGATAATAATAGCAGAAACCCAGGGCCAACTAGTCCAACCACCATCTGCCATGTAGTAAAAACACAATCAAAGTGCCCCCTGAGCGGTGGGAGAGGAATTGGGTTCTGGAAGCAAGGAAGACATGGGGGAAAGGATTTGCATGGTGAGGGGTCTAGGGAAAGTGGTCTGAGTGAGGGGAATGGGTGAAAGCGTCAGTGTCTCCCCTCCACCTATGTGATGCCTCCCTCCGCATGCATTCAATCCCTGGTGTGCACTTGAGGAGGGAGGAGCAGTAACGAGGAAGGAAAGTTGCATCTGTGTATGCATTTGAGGGGACGGAGGAGCACAATGGATGGAGGAGGGAAAGCCCCCGCTGCACATGTTTGGAGCCAAGGGGAGGAGGAGAAGGGAAGCACAGAGCCTTTCAGTATGCGTCCCAGAGCCCCAAGGGCTCCATGGAGCACACTTTAAGAACTGCTATGTTAAAGCAATATAGAGTCATTACATACACGGAGAGCTAAGATCTTTATGTTGTCATAAATGTTGGTTTCTTGGTAACAAAGTAGTCATTCATTTAAAGTAGTTCTTGATTCCTGAGCCAGGGAACTGCTTGTCTATTTACTTTTACTTTCCTCTGTTCAGTATAACTTAGTGGAAATTATTGAGTAACCTGCTATCACTTGTATTCTTATTCTAAGTTGGGAGATTAACATCAACCTGTTTTCCAGGTATCCTGGAATAAACTGATCCAAGCAGAAAGAACAGCCCAATTTTCCATCTGCTTAATGTTAAGATGTAAGCAAAATCACAAAGGGCAGATGAATCCTTCATAAAGTAAATTAAACTGTCAAATCATGAATGTGTTTAGAAAGTACAAAGTTTTTTTATTTATGTGATTAATAACTTTATATCCTGCTTATCTCATCTAAAAGTATGCCTGTTTCAATAACGGCTTTTTACTTTTATGCGGCTAAGTGTCATTTCATAGCATTGCAACAATGCTGGTGAGAAATCCAAATGTATTGAAAATAACATAAGCTCTTTATAATTAAGAATGTGAGAAATTCCAAAAGCAAACACAGTCTTGTGTGAAATGCAACAGATGTCCTTAAACCCATTCTCTTTATATTGTTGCCACTTATGTGAAACTGGCCAGTTCTTCCCTATAGTATAACAGAAAATGCTGCATTAAAAATTCTGAGGGTTTTTTTTTCCAATTCTATTAAGAGGAACTAGTTAGAAAATACTGAGCTAAATGTTGTGGTATGTACAAAAAAAAAACCCAATTCCTTGGAATGTTCCTTTACACATCAGTCATTCCATACCTTGCTTCTCCCAGCTTGGTTGATCTAATCACAGTTTTGTGAAGCACAGTTCACTTTTAACAATGCTGCCACTGTTGCCACTTATGTTAGCAGTTTACCTTTCCAGATGAACAGCAAGTTCACTGCACTCTTATTCTTCCTAATACATAAACATATATGTAAAACCCAACTACATCTGAATAGAACTTGGAAAAGCAACTTTTCAGACTGTAACTCACAAAATCCTCTAGCCAACATGGCCACTGTATTATTGAGAAGTTTAGGAATTTGTAGTCCCAAAAATACCTTTTCCATATTCTAGCACCAACTGCCGCTCTGGGCCAGAGCGAAGAGAGGGGAGGCCAGGGGACAGCACCATCTTGTCTCCTGTGCTATTCTAATAATATGCTATAATATAATATATAATATATTGTATATTCATATAATATTTATAATATTGTAATGTAATGCAATATAATACTAATAATAATATGATATTATAATTATATATTTATATTACATGTAATATTACTAATAATATTACAGTATAATTGATATAGTGCAATGTAGCAATATTTAAAACTGATATTGTACTATGTTAATAATATATTGTATGTATATATACCTTGTAAGCCGCTCTGAGTCCCCTTCGGGCTGAGAAGGGCGGCATATAAATGTCGTAAATAAATAAATAAATAAATAGGTCCATCCATCCTGTCTCTCTGTTGGCAATAGCATCAAATCACACACTTCCAGGAACCTAAAAATAGGTCAAGGAAGTCCTCATTGGTTTCTCTCCACAATATAAATGGAATTCTTTGGTATACTATTGGTGGACATAGAGGTTAATTTAGGTAAAGCAGTTAAAAGCTCTTGATAGATCTTCCATGAATTTGTTTAATGCCCTTGTGAAATAAGAATGGAGAACAACATCATCCATAGACCTTCAGATTTTCTCGTTCCACATTCTTGGCAATTGGCTGGGTTTGATGACATTTGGAGTCCAATAATGTCTTGAGAGGTGTTACTCTCCCAAAATTGTTCAAAATGCCACCTTTACAAAGAGAGTTTGGAAGCACTGCTTTTTGAAATTCTATTCCCTTGTCCCCAGTTCAACATCAACTGCACAATTGCTCCATATGGTTTGAATTTCAACTTGAGCCAGCTGTCTGTTGGCTACTAACCTGCAGGGTCTTGATCACTGACTAGTGTGATCACTGTGTTGCCATCCCTGCAGGAATGGAAAATATTTCAGCACCACTTCCATCCTTCCATCCTTCGCACTATTTCTCTGCACCCTTTCCTTCCTGCTGTGTTTTAGCAGTTGCCTAAGAAAGTGAGGGTCTATTGCTTTTGGCATTTTGGCATATTTTAAAAAGATGTTTGGGTATTGGTGTACTTATTTAATTGTACCCATTACCAATTACTGTTTCAATGCCCAGAGATTTCCTTTTAAATTAAATTTGTAACACTTTGAAAAAATAGTCAGGCATCAACATACATGCTTATCTGGCTCTTTTAGAGAGAGAAAAGGAAATATACCTTGTTATAAACTTGAGCAGACCAATATGTTCTGATTAATTTCACTACATGAGACTTAACTAAGATCGGAAGAAATTGGTGTAGTTAAGATTTGGACAACCCCCACAATGCCTTTGTCGTTGCTAGCAATGTTTCTACATTATTAACTACTCCTTTCCTGGGCCCAGTGGTGTTTTTTTCCAGCCTAGAGCTAGATAACAATGCAGTTATAAAAAGAAAGACAATTCAGTTTGAAATAATAATTGTGTCCAGTAACTGGGGACATAGAAAGAACCCCTCCCCCACCCCCCTTTTTTTAGTATGTTTTAATTTTGGACATGGTGGTGGGCTTCGGGAATCAGGATCTGGATTGAAATGCAGTCAAAGGGTTGTTCCTGACTGGCAGGGTTCATGATTTGTCTTTAAGAAATATAAGACAAATCAAAGTCTCAAATCCTAATCCTTGGGACTTTTCCCCCTTAAAAGCCATGTAGCCAGTCAGTGTCAGCATTCATTCAGCCACAGCTTATATGCTGGCATTGACATCAACAACATAAAAAGTGGTCTAGAACGGCATCAAAGGGGAAAAAAATGGGAAGCTATTGTGATGTGGATATGACCACTTAAGGCACTGGCAAAACCATGTTTGAGTATTCCTTGCCTAAAGAAATCCTATAACATTCAGGCAGTTGCCATAAGTCAACATGTTGCTCTTGTGTGCCTTCAAGTCATTTCCAACTTACAGCAAAGTCTATCAGGATTTCCTTTCTCAAATGTGTTCAAAAGGTGTTTGCCTTTGCCTTTTTTAGGCTGAGAGAGTGTGATTTGCTAAATCTTACCCAGTGGGTTTCCATGGCTGAGTATGCTGTAGTTTATCACAAAGGAATCTGAACATGGGGAAATGGCATAGATGTCTTTACAGGCAGGCTGTATAGGCAAGTCCGTTGTGGTGAGGATAGGTCAGTCTTATTTAGAAAGCAACAAAATATTCTGGAATATCACCCCCCCCCCCACTTTCCCTTTCAAATTTTGGCTCTTCCTTTCTCATTTCTTTTTTGAGTTTTGTACTTTGCTCTCCCTCTACCCTTCTCTGCTCTTATCCATGCCCCTCTCCTCTCGTACCAAATGCTTTCCTCCCAGCAGCCTCCCTCTCCTTTTGTGTTTAGTTCCTTTGTCGTTCTTCCTGGTTGGTTTTGATTTCTGACTTTTCTTCTGAAGGGCAATGTCAACGGCACAAAATTAAAAGCAAAAATACCACACTGATCAGATGATGTCGGGGGGGGGGGGGGGGGGGGCGGGAATGATACAAAGCCACTATTAACTAACAACAGACCCATCAGACTCTCTGCCTTGAAATGATTCCCAAGTGGGAGGGTTTGCTGTTTGTTGGGGGGCGGTGGGGTGCTGGGAGGGAAAGATTTGCAGTATAAGAAAGAAAGAAAAGGGGTTTTTAGGGTGGGGGAGGGGAGAAACAAAAGCAATTTAATCTCTTTTCTCTTTTTTTTCCTTCTTGCACCTTTTTTTTCAATATATTTTTCTTCTCTCCCTTCCGATGCATAAAGTAGAAGTGGAACAGAAAGGTAAACAACAACAACATTACCACTGACCCCACCCTTAACCCAGCACCTTGTTTTTTTTTCTCTGTGGCCATATTTAATGTGACCTTCCTCTACCTTTTCTCCTTGCTCCTTCTCCTCCTAACCTCCCACCTTCCCTTCCCTTGGTTTCCCCACCTCTTCTCTCTCTGGTCTCACTAATTTTAATTGGCATCCCCCTCCCTCTGCAGAAATAAAACCTTCCAATAACTCAAACAACACCCAGCAAATTAAGGTGATCAAACATTCATCTAACAACTGCCCCTTCCAAACCTTTCCATTTCTCCTTGCTCACATGTGGAGGGAAAGCACCATTAATGTCTGGGATAAGAATGTCCTCTCTCCGGTTTTACTTCCTTCAGGGGAAATATACTTTTTCCAAACCGTTCTCTGCGTCTTTTATCATTCAACTGATTCTCTCTGCTCCTTTCTTCATGTTTCCATGGCAACCAACTGGGTACCTTGGCCTACCTCAACCACTACTTCTCTCTTTCCTTTTTTAAATAAAAAAATCCCAATTCCTGATTTTAAGGAGATGCTTATTTTTTCTGAGATTTACATATAAAATTTTGTCACGATGCAGAAGAATAATGGGAGGTTGGTTTTCTTTTTTTAAAAAATGAAAAGTGTTTTTCTCTCTCATTTATGTATTTATTTGTTTGTTTATTTCATTTTGGGCATTTCTAAATAATTCTTCCAGGACTTCTTGCACATTTTCAGGCTCTTACACTACAATTATTGAGACTCGTTCTCTCACATATAAATATCCACAATAAGGTCATAGTCATTGTGCAAATTTAGTTCGCTCCTGAAACGGAGGCCTTTTTAAAATTAGCTACTCAGTGGAGTAGGAGTTTTCATTTGAGTCTCTCACAGTTAATATGCAAATGTTTGTGAAGTCATTTAGGTGGTAAATATAGACATGTATAGGCTAAGTGACATCACTTTAAATGGTGGTGATTTTGTCCTCATTCTGAAAAGCAGCCCAAGTTTGTAAATAAAATTTAACATCCCAAGTTTGTAAATAAAATTTAACATGTTTGTAAATAACATTTAACATAAATAAAATTTAACATCTACTTGTGAATTTTCTTTTTTGTGTGAATTTCACCTCGAGCACACATAGTTCTATGGTGAGAATTCCAAAGCTAGATTCTTTAAAAGAGTCGTTCCTCCAGCCCTTCACATTTATGATTTTAATTGTTCTAAAGAGCCCCTTTTGTAAGTCTTAATATAAGTGTTTTCTGTGTTCTACTATTGAAATAAAGTGGAAAACCACAGAAGACCCATAAGAAATAACCTTTTTTCTAGAACACATATACATTCATTATTCCAGTATACTAACCACACCAGTGTGGCAATCTTTTGATTTCCTTGCTTACTGTTTCTTTTTCTTCCTTTCCTTTAAAAATTCCTGATCAATCCTGGGTGATTTTATTTGTGTTTTTGTTAATTATTATTCTTTTCTACCTGTTTTATTTTAAACAAAAGCTGCAGTCATGATCACTGACTCTGTCTGTTATTGGGGAAAGATGCGGGAGGTGCATGAAAGGAGGGGTTAGTCAATGTATTTTTAATTGAACATCTTGACTAGATCTGGAGGTGATAAACCTAATGTAAGTGCCAGGAGTCACAACTGCAGTAAGCCTGTCTTGACAAGGAACAAGCTGTCAAGTTAGCTGTAGGAATCCATCAAATTCTCTAATTTCAAAGTAGCAAAACTCAAAAAGCCAGGCTTGATTCTGTCCAATCCATGTCTCTCTTCTCTCTGTTTCTTTCTGTGTATTTCTCTCTCTTTCTCTGTTTAGTTTGCTCTAAAAGCACAATTGATCCCCTTCCCCTGCATTGCTTTGGGATTTTTTTTCCAAGATTGGGGATGGAGGCATATACTTATACTTTTCTTTTCCACAGGTTTCCATGGTTTTGGATGTGGCTTTTTACTGATTGTTTCCTTCTCTGTTTCTGACATCTTCTCCCCCAACCCCAGAGCACAGTTGCCCCCATCCCGACTTAGAAGGCTGAGTCGACACTGCCCCATCCATGAGGGATCGGAACCAGTTAACGCTTTGTGCTGTCCCCCCCTCGCCAGCGCTTCATTCTTTAATGGTGTGTTTCTCCTCCCCCTGCCAGGAGTCATCCATCACACCCCCACCAACCCAGATGGGAAGCTGGGCTGAGCGAACCTGTGAGACTCCATGAAGCTGCTTTGTGGCAACATTGCCAGGCAGGTGTTCAGAGAAGGCAGGACTAAAAAACTCAAATTGGTTCAATCGTGTCCCCTCTTCTGCCTCCATTGATCTAAAAGGCAGTTCCCAAAACATCTAGGTCTCACCACTTTGTGCACAGACAAGAGAGAATGGCATATACATAGCACAAAGGTATAGGGGCACGGCACAGACAATGGTACATACAATTCACATCACAACACTAGATGGAAACTAGAAATAGTGCATTCATAATGAGCTCTGCAAAAGCTTACACAAACAGGTAGATATCCTTATTTTTTAAGGCAGCTATAAATCTACAGTTTGAATATTTCTTATCCGGAAATCTGAAATCCCACAGGCTGCAAAATCTGAAATAATCCACATGGGTGGATGAGATAGAAACACCTTTGCTTTCTCATAGTTCAATGTATAGAAATTTTGTTTCATGCATAAAATTATTTATAATATTCTGTATAAAATTACTTTCAGCCTATGTTGTAAAATGTGTATGAAACATACATTAGTCTACAAGATATATCATTTTGGAACAAATATTCCAAAATCCAAAACAGTCCAAAATACTTCTGGTCTCAAGTATTTTGGGTAAGAGATCACCTGAACATATGAAATATAGAATATATGCACTTTTTAGAAAAACAAAGGCATATGTGACCCTCAGAAACATACAGATGACATTTGGACATGCACAAATTGACACATCCCAGTGATTGGATTTGTACTTACACAGTTAAAGCAGTTTTATATTACTTTAACTGACATTTCCCTGTCCTGCGGAATGCTGGAATTTGTAATTCAATAAGGCCCTTAAAATTCTCTTCTAGAGAGCTTTCACACACTCCCCTCAATGACACCTCTAGAGCTCTCTGCCATTTCACCAAACTAAAAATTCCAGCATTCCATAGGATGGAGCCATGCCAGCTAGTGGTATCAGCTGCTATTGCAATGAGTACTTCATTAGACTGGAGTAAAGTCTTTGTTTTGAGTAAAGCCTCCATGCTTCCATAAACCACTTATAAATACAGGAATATGCATCCATTTTCATGAGCATGTTCTCTGTATGTGCATTGACTAGATGTTCCTTGGCAGCTCTGTTTGCAGCCTCTGCAGGCTCTTGTGAAACTGGGCACTCTTTAGTGCTTCTAGACTGCTATATAGCTGCTCAGGACCATATGCTCTGAGAAAGCAGAGGGATGGATATAGAGAAGTTATCCATGTTCACACTTCTTTTTCCCCACCAAAACAATTGACAGCTTTACTTTGGGAGAGCCATTGGAAAAATACACACAAAGCCTGGCAAAATATGTATGCTTTACATCTTCATTTCTAGGATGATGGGTACCTCCTTGTCTTTGCAGTCCAAGTAGAGAACAAGGGAATAAGTGTAGCTATGAAGAAGTACTGCTGTGGGCCTTACGTGATAAAGGCATAAGCTGGCAGCACCATGACTGTTGGAGCTCACAGGTTCAGGCTTCCCACCCTGGCTTGATGATAACTATCTTTTTCGCTTTTACACTGTTTCCCTGAAGCATGATCATCAATTTGCAGGGAGATTTGGATGGGTTGGGTATGACATTAGACTGGTACCTGGCTACATGGCTGTTTTGGTCCTCTGGGGGACAGAAAGGAGAGCATTACATCTCTTAGGATTGAGACACTCACCTTCCATTAATAAAAGCAATAGCCTTCTTTTCCTATAGACCAAAGAACTCTATAGTAGTTCTGTAGATCATGAATTATCAGCAGCAGGTCTGGTCATGGAGAGAGAGTGATGAATTTAGCAAGTCATACAATTTGAGTGATTTGTTTATAAAATCTGCTGTATTTTCCAAATATTCACTTCTGTTCTTGATTAGTCATGAGCAGGTAGTGTTCATTGTTTTGTTTTCAGAATATGCTCCAGCTTCAGATTTTCTGACGCAAAAGCCACAAAACCCCAACAACATTGCCCAGAATAAAACTATTCTTGGCTTGCTGTGGAATGCGCCCTTTTGAATGATAGGGAAACTTGTTGGAAGAATACATTTCTCACTTAACATGAAAGTGACACATTCATCCAGCTACTCTGAAGTGACACTGGCTTCTTAAGAGTGCTGAGACCTATGTCAATAAAGAGTGCTGAGACCTATGTCAATAAAAACAAAACCCTTTAAATGGCCATCAGTTACACTTTGTGAGTATTGAATGGATTTGATCTTGACTTAGAGAGAGTCACTATGACAGAGTTTGAAAACTGTGGACTTGACATAGATAAATAGCTCACACAAGAGACATCGTGCCCTACAAAATCCAACTGCTCCACATTAAGTTGTTCTTATCTAGTGACTCCCATCAGAAAATTACAGGGATCTTTAAAAGACCTTGTCATTATCATATAGGCTAGCCTCCTGTCCTTATGACGTATTGTCATTCAGACGTGAACCCACCTATCACTTTGCAAACCTCTGCACCACATATCATTTCTGATAGCCATACTGTTTTAGGGAAGAAGACAAAAAAACAGACAATCTCTACATACTTGGTAGACTAGGACTGATTTTTAAAAAGTTCAGTCCCCAATTCGATCACAAAAATGATTAATACCTGCCCCTCCTGAACTTACTACATCCATGCATCCTTCAAAATGGGTGAAAACTTGTGGTATTCCAGGTGTTGCTGGATTGTAATACAGTAATGGAAAAGAATGACAGAACTGAAGTCTAACAACATCTGTGAATGCTCCAAGTTACCACCTTTGTACACCAAAAAAGTTAAAGGATAGGACCTGACACTTCTCATAGTGTACCAAAAAGTACACTTCAAATTTTATGGGTTTTTGGATATACAAATTTGGTTGCCAATTAAATTGCTATTGCAGAAGCTTTATTAATCAGAGTTATTTATTATTACTGAGAAAGATGCAGCATGATATCTCCATGGAGACCAAAACACTGTGAATAAGAGTGAACTCATCAGGTTGCTGACTCAGCCCTGCTTTCTCTTCCTGGGCTACCTTGGGACTATGACCATTGGAAACAGTGGGAGCAATCTAACATACACTTAAGCCCACGTAAAACCCCTTTCTTTCAATGGGATAAACTTTGTTCAAATGGAATAGGTTTGCACACAGGTTCTACCTGAATCTAGGAGAGCAAGGGAAGAATTTATTTATTTATTAATTCTCTGTGGGAGCCTGTCATTATCAAAAGAGCTTATCTCCTCCTCCCCCTTGGCTGATATCAGTCTCAGTCCTAGACTTCCCATTAACTTTTGCTATGCATCCCCTGCTATCAAGTGTGCTGTGGCAGCAGTTGATGCTACCGACCCCTGCCCAAATAAAAATATTACCACAAGCTGCACCCTGAGTAACGTGGCATATCATAGCAACTGTGACTCTTTAATAAATTCAGAGCAGAGAATTCACTTCTGCACCTCCCAGATATTCTGGGGCTCTTCCAAGATTTGAGTAAGATAACTAGAGATCCGACGGTTAGGAAAAGATTTCATCCCAAGAGTGAAAACAATAAGCCAGCATTGGGCTGCTGGGAATTGATTTCTCCATAGCCCTTACAATGGTGACAAGAAACCAATTTACTAATCCTAATCCTCTGTAACCCTAGATCTGGGTGGTAAAAACACCATGCAGCCATTAAGGCCTGGGTTTGATTGACTGCTCCTGTGTCTCCACTGGGATTGTTCAGGGGTACTGTGTTGTGATAGGCAAGGTGAATTCTCTGCTGTGATGCTGCTCTCCTTACCCCACTCCACCCCCTCTTCTTTCACCACTAAATGCTTTTTTTCTCCCAGCCTTGATCCAGCTAACCAGAGGCAGACACTTGCAGAATGCCTGGCCTGATTTGTCTTCCTTTCCAACCTTTTTTCCTCCTGGCTTTTCCTAAGATTCCAGGCTGCCAACCAGGGTGTGGGTGAAAGTGAGGGGTTTTCCTTTCCCACTTGCCCAGGTCTCCCTTCCTCTCACTGTCACTTCACTCCTTCACCTACCCACCTTGACATATGCCCTAGTCTCATGTCCTTGGCTGATCTGAATCAAACCTGGCTGAGAAGTTGCTCCAGTGGCACCCAGGATATGAGAAGCAGAGGCTTTATGTAATGTTACTCTTCTGCCATGATCCTCCTAGCTCTTCTTTTCAGAAGGGAGCCAATCCCTCAGCTAATCTACAGCTCTCCGTCCCCAGGGTTGAAAGTAGTCTCTTTCAGCAGGAAGAGGAAACACCCTATCTTTTCCATTCAGTGGGCTTTTAAGTGGACAGGCATTGGATCTTCTTTTATGTTTGCTTTTCATTCCCCATTCAACAATGTCTTGATACCAAGAAAGAAACATCAGAGTTGGATGCTGGATGCTGCTTAGCCTTTTTCAAAGGGAAATATTACCTCAGAGCTGTTTTTAAGATAGGCATAAAGTGGTTCTATTTAGTGGGTGGAAAGTTAAGAACATTGCAGCAGAGCAAGTTGGAAATGGGTGCTTCTATACAAAGTATTTTTAATAATTTCCCTGCCTTATTCCTGGGAATGTTACAAGAAGTCCAGATGAAAAATATTCCACTTGTAACTTTATGCTTCCTCACTTCTTCTGCCTTTTTAGTTTCCCTTTTAAAAATCCATAAAGGATGTGCAAGTAAAAACATCTATACTGTGATTTATGGCTGATAATTGTTGGAATCCTCCATCTCAAACACAACTTGGAAAAGTCATTTTTGAAAACAGGCCCCATAATTGATATGGCAGCAACCAGGACTTCCCAAGTTGTTTGCACAGTGACATTGCTGATTTCTAATTTATTTATTTTTTATAACACTGCATTGAGCTAACGTGCAGCTCTGCTGGGATTTTTAGTTAATATCTGGAATCTAGGAAAGAAGTCATTAATAGATGGTTCCCTCCCTCCATTTCAAAAAAGCACCCTTTCTGTTACTAAAACTACTGTGAAAAAAAACAAGGAGATATGTAGAAATAGGACCAGATGTGTAACTGCCTCATCACTGTTGGTGTTCATACCAACACAAATAGGAGTTTAATTGCAGCATGGTGGCTGGAATAAGGCCCCTTCTACACTGCCATATACAATCCAGATTATCTGATTTGAACTGATGATAGGTTAATGTAGACTCATATAATCCAGTTCAAAGCAGATAATGTAAATTATCTGCTTTGATAATCTAGATTATATGGCAGTGTAGATCTAGCCTGTTAGCCATGTTTTCTTGAGTTTGTAAAACAAATGGTTTCTCTAACCAACCTTAAAGATGCCTCTTGCAGAGGAGCACCCCAGAACAGGAAGTCTAGCTATTTCAAAACCAGTGGAATAAATACTGTTCAGAAGTCCAGTGATGCCAACACCCTACTCCAAAGAGACCCTTAGGGCCCTTACACACAGCCATATAACCCAGAATATCAAAGCAGAAAATCCCACAATATCTGCTTTGCACTGGGTTATCTTGAGTCCACACTGCCATATATTCCAGTTGAAAGCAGATAATGTGGATTTTATTCAGCTGTGTGGAAAGGGCCTTAGTCTCTGCCTAATCTCAGCAGGCTAATAGAAAACCAGACAAACATACACTACCCAATGGATTCCTTTTTGGAGACAGCCTTGCTACTCAAGACTGAGCCTATAATTTTTGACAATCCAATATGGAAGTCCCAGTGCCCCCCAAGAACTGCAAGGAAGAGGATCAGATTTAGATCACGTGGAAGTCTAACTCAGGTTTATCACTAGCATAGAGCTTTTGAGCTGGCTGCCAGTGATGGAACGTATGACCAGGGAGTAAGGGATAGCATGGTTAGTATAGTAAAACGTCTGCTCAGACTTTTAGGTTTTCCAGATGCTACTCTAGGAAACAATTCGGCATCCCATGCTTAATGCCAGAAAACATAGCAAGTTTAGGGAGCAATGGTTGGGAACCCTAAAACACCCATTTCAATTTGATCTGTAGAAAGTCTTTCTTTCCTCTGATGCTCCCCTGCACCTTCAGTATTTATTTAACATGTCACTGAGCCGTCTCTGCTCAATAACAGATAAAAGTCTCATGATTGCAGCTGCTCTCAAAATTCAGCGCGGATTTCACTTCTCCTGCCAACAGGCTTTTACAAATTTATCCTTTCTTTTCTCTCTTTCTTTTCTTTCTCTCTTTCTTTTTTTTTCTCTTGTTCTATCAACTCTCTCTGGATTTCCCACCCTTTTACCCAATCATCCTTTCCTCCCTTCCATCCCCTCCCTAGTTTTCGTTTGCCCGGGGACGCTGCACAAGATCTTGGAACCTACTTCGGCTCATGAGTCAGAGCACCAGTCTGGAGCCTGGTGTAAGGACCCACTTCAAGCTGGAGACCGTATATATGTCATGCCATGGATCCCTTACCGGACAGACACACTGACAGAGTATGCTTCATGGGAGGACTATGTGGGTGCTCGACACACCACCACATATCGCCTCCCCAACAGGGTTGATGGCACAGGCTTCGTAGTGTATGATGGAGCAGTCTTCTACAACAAGGAGCGGACACGAAACATTATCAAGTATGATCTACGAACTCGCATTAAAAGTGGAGAGACAGTCATTAACACAGCTAACTATCATGACACTTCACCCTACCGTTGGGGCGGCAAGACTGACATTGATCTGGCTGTGGATGAAAATGGGTTATGGGTCATCTATGCTACTGAAGGCAACAATGGACGGTTAGTGGTAAGCCAGCTCAATCCCTACACACTTCGCTTTGAGAACACGTGGGAGACTGGCTATGATAAGCGCTCAGCATCCAATGCTTTCATGGTGTGTGGGGTGCTCTATGTTGTCCGGACAGTCTATGTGGACGATGACAGTGAGGCAGCTGGTAACCGTGTTGACTATGCTTTTAACACTAACATGAACCGTGAGGAACCCATCTCGTTGACCTTCCCAAATCCCTACCAGTTCATCTCTTCCATTGACTACAACCCCCGTGACAATCAACTTTATGTATGGAACAACTACTTCGTCTTGCGGTATTCCCTTGAGTTTGGCCCACCTGACCCTAGCACTGGTGAGATATTTTGACACCCAAGTATGGGGTGGGGAAAATCATGAGTCCCTAGTTTCTATTCCCAGATTATATTAATGCAGTGTTAATTTGCATAGTTTTCCAATTATTGATGTCATAGATTTCTATACATCTTCTTGCATTTGAAATTACCTTTTTAAAAAACACTTTTTGAAAAATATATACTTTACACTAAAATTTTATATCAGCAATCCCCCAACAACATGTGATTTAAGATTATGACATTTTTACTTGAGCTAAATACTAACAAGCTAGCACTCATTGAAGGTATGTTGCAAGTGATTGCAAGTTATTCAGCCAATGGCTTTCTCAGCTGTTACTGTTTGATGCACTTGTCATCCATCCCATTTCAGTATACCAACAGAATAATTTTTCTTTTCTTTTTTAAATGCGGCATTGGTTTCCATGCCGAATTTTCAAAATACCTTTAATTTTATCACTTTGCTGCAAGCAGGTATTTGAGTTCCACTCAAACAGTAAGCATCAGAAAATCTGCTCAGTTCAATTGAGGCCCCTTCCACACAGCTGTATAAAATCCACATTGAACTGGATTATATGGCACTGTGGACTCAGATAACTCAGGTCAAAGCAGATATTGTGGATTATCTGCCTTGATATTCTCGGTTATTTGGCTGTGCAGAAGGGCCCTCAGACTTCTTGTGACCTCCACAGATTCAGCATGGGCCAGAAATTCTGACACTTAGGGCCCTTTCACACAACCATATAGCAAATTACACGTATTTATTAGAATATGATCCAAGGGATCAATAGCATCATCATCATCATCTTTATTTATACCCCACCACCATCTCCCCAATGGGGACTTGGAACAGCTTACATGGGACCAGGCCCAACAGCACAATTACAATAAAATAAGATAAAACCAAAACATAAGACAACAGCATAATAAAATTCATAAACATAAGAGTACAGTAAGTAATCACAGTGACAATGAGCGGGCCACATGTAAAATATACTAAAAAGCTAAAAAAAAGTCAGGATGAGATAGGGATGGAGCAGATTGTTTATTGGGGGGAGACTTATCAAAGCGTAAAAATGCGTAAAAGGCCTTCATACAGGAGGGGGGAAGTGTACTATATGGGCACATGATTGAAGGGGAACATCCAGCCAGGGAGAGATGCTTATCCTTTTCACTATAGCAACAGAAATAGTATTGAGATGGAGCTACTGGTTAAATATCATAAAAGACACTGCAGTTAAAAGGAAGCATGAAGTGACCGAGGGGATTCTGATCAGCAGTGGAAAAGGGATCAGAAAGTTTGGACTGGAATCAATTGAAAGAAAAAGCACTGGTAACTGGAAACCTTTCCCAGACTTTCATTTTTTTAAATCTTTAACAGGATCCGTTTTCAGCATCTAAATTCTTATTTTCTAATCTTGTTAACTAGAACTGTAGATTTAAAAACTGGAACTTTCTGGAATCTGAAATGTAACTTTTGTCACAAGTGAAGAGCCCAGGCTATTGTGGTGGATTGTCACTGCAAAATAACTCATTTTGCTGTGGTAGATGCTACAAGTTAGGTTGAGTCCTGTTTTTTCCATTCTAAAGGAACTGAAGTAAGAAAATTGTATCATTATCATTATTTATTTATCTATTTATTTATTCATTCATTCATCTATTCAGTTCCACCATTATTGTACACGATGCTTTACATGTAAAAGAACAACAAATCAGTTTGGGAAGGCCCTTGGACCAGAGTTTGGGAAAGTTATCTGCACTACACCTCTCAGATTCAAGGAGTTGTGTCCCAAACAAACAACTTTTGTGTGGCCCGGGCATGATGGTTGTTCTTGGAACGGACACTTGGTAGCAGGAATCTGGGAATGTGTGTTTGTATGTAGAAAACAATCTTTCTCTCTAATTGTCTTTGTAACCTGCAGGCCCTGTCACCTCGACACCACTTAGCACTACAACCACCACTCATCTAACCACAGTCACAAGCACAATTTCATCAGCTGCCACAACAACAACACGGCAAGCTCCCCTCACCACCCATCCCATTGGTGCCATAAATCAGAAGGGCACAGAGCTGCACCCAGTTACAGCCGTTTTGCCCAGCACTCGCCGCCCACCAGCAAACAATCAGCATCTCTCTCCGGAGCTCTTCTGTGAGGCTAAGGAAGTGCGGCGTGTCCAATGGCCAGCCACACAGCAAGGCATGCTGGTTGAAAGACCTTGCCCTAAGGGCACAAGAGGTAATGTAAACAGCAGCATGATGTTGGGGCCAAACAAAGAAAGCTTCGTCTTTATCCCTGAGGTGACTGACTTTGAGTGCCTCTAGAGCAGGATTGGGAAAACCCGGGCCCTGGGGCTGGATCTGACTCTCTTAAGTCTGGCCTTCTGTGCTTTCCTGGGTAGCCACAAACCTCTTCTCATGACACCATCCTTTGCTTTTATATGGGATTTTCCCCATCTCAAGAGTCTCTCCAAGGACTTGGATGACTGGAAGTAAGACCTTTAAGCTCCAACCATTTTACTTTTGACCCCAGTCATCACTGTTATGCAGCTTCTGGGAATCTCTCTTGAACCTATTGTCTTTGAATTGAATAGAATTCTCCACCCTTGTACTGGGGAACGCAAAATGCATCCCAGTGCCCAGTGTGAATTGATTCCATTATACTTATACTGGAGGCCAGCTTTCTTCTACCGCACCAGTAACTATGTAGAAACTCTGGGTTGACTTTCTAATAGGATGGGGATGGCCAAAGTGAAGCCAACATAGCCTTTGCAGAATTGAGCTCTCTTTCCCCCCTCTCCCGGATGCCTTCCCTTCCCTACAGGGATTGCTTCCTTCCAGTGTCTTGCAACTCTTGGAATCTGGAACCCGCGGGGACCTGATCTCAGTAACTGCACAAGTCCTTGGGTCAATCAGGTGGCACAGAAGGTAATGCTTCCCTCTTCCTGTTGCCGTGGTCACTATTCATACCACTCTACATTCAGAACAGATACCAGGCAGGCTTCAGGCTTGCCCAGCTTCTTTTACCCAGCTGAGGTTCATCTGTCTTTTCTTCCCCTTTCCTTGGCAGATCAAGAGTGGAGAAAATGCAGCCAACATTGCCAGTGAGCTTGCCCGGCATACACGAGGTGCCATCTATGCTGGAGATGTCAGCTCCTCTGTCAAACTGATGGAGCAGCTCCTGGACATCTTGGATGCACAGCTTCAGGCACTACGCCCCATTGAGAGAGAATCAGCTGGCAAGAACTACAACAAGGTGCGTCATGTTTGTCCCAATTGATAGTACAAGCAAAAGGGTGGTCTTGGGAATGTGAAAAGCATTTGAATGAAGAAAGATCTGTCAGCATAGAAACATCATCTGTTGAATGTCTTGGCAGAGAAATCCCAAAAGGCAAATAAGGGTTTGGAACAAAGAGTAGTAATTACAAATTGGCTCTCACAAACATTGGGAACAATGATCACGTTGAAGCAGAGGATTGCTGCTGATAGTAAAAATAATGAAAATAAAAACCACAAAACTGCATTCAATTTTTCTGCAAACCAAATGAGATAATTCAAAATCCAAAAAGCAAATCTTTTTTAAATTTTATATTAGAGGACACCATTTACTATACCATTGTATATCATGGGACTTGAGTATCCACTGATTATTTTTTTTGTATATTTGGGGGATCCTGGAACAAAGCCCCAGCAGATACCAATTGCCCATTGTAAATTTTAAATGTAATTCTTGGGATTCTGTTAAAGTTTCTGGTTCTATATTAGAGGCTGGTTTTTCCTTTTTTTTTCTTCAGGATGCAAATATATGTTGTTTTCTGGTCTCACTCTTTATTAGAGGAAATGAAAAGAGCACTTTGTAATAGTAATTCTCACTGAGCTCAATAGCTCTGTCTCACCAGTGGAAGCAAATAACCATGTGAGGGCATGAGAGAAAACTTTCTCTACTGTGCTGCTCAGGTCATGCAGTGCCCTCCCCTTTGAGGATCAATTGGCACTGATAATGGTCTTTATTTCAAAACCACATTTTAACCATACTTTTAATCAAATCCTTTGGGGACCTTGTGATTTTGTCCAGTTTGTGTGTGTGTGTGGTTTTAATTAGTTTATTGTATTTTTAAATGTTGCATAGTTTTAGTAGGTTCTTAGACTGCAATTTATTTTCAGTATTTTATATCTTGTAAAAGATTGAAAATAAATTACAGTCTAAGAACCTACTAAAACCATGCAACATTTAAACTGTTTGGGGTGGATTTAATTGACCTTATTATGTACTCCTTGGAAGTAGGATGGAATATAAATATTTTTAAAAATAAATTTCCTAAATAAATGAAGTGTGTACAGAATCGCAATCAGGCCTGTCAGATTAGAACCCAGCATATTCCAATATGCTGCTAGAGAGGGTGGAGAGACATTTTTATTTTGCCCTTTTTGCTGTTTTTGTTTTATTTGTAACATTTCTATCCCACTGAAAGCAATGGGAAGAAAATTGTTGGGATCCCCTCCAGAACTGGTCTGCATGTTCCATGTTGGGAGCAGCTCTCAGAGAGCCCCTGATGGTCCTATCACAATGCTTTGTTTCAGAGTTAAGCTCTGTTGTTGGGAAGTTACATCTCTTTCTGGAAGGCTAAGGAGAAAGTGGAAGTATCTAAAATCAAACCTCTTCCACTAAGACTGTAGGAGTTGCTGAGTATGGGGAGTGGAGGTGGGGCAGTTCTGATCGTTCTCTGGGGAGCCCTTGGGAGCAATTGAAGTGTTGCACTTTAAAAGTTCTTTTTGGAAATTTGAAATTCAAAATTTAGAAGTCACCATTTATTATTACAGTTATATACATGTATGCTATTCACAACCTGAACCAGTGATCATAATAAGTCAAACAGTCTTTAGCATAAACAAAGAAAACAAGACAGAAAATACAGTAGTGTGTTAATTCAGACTCCACTTTTATAAAGATTATGCCTTTGTTATATCCCTGCCAATGTTGAGTAGTATCTGCCAGCTTCAAGGTCAGAGCCAATTTAATAAGAACTCTCCAGACCAGGGCAGGGGAAACGCTGGTCTTCTAAATTTGGAACTTTAGTTTCCAAAATGCCTTACTGTAGGTCATGTTGGTTAGAGCGTCTTGGGGGTTAAAGTTAAAAAATATATCCAGTGAGAAAGGTTCTCCATCTCTTTCATGGTTACAGTTTCCTTTCAGTATTTCTAGTGTTACCATTTTCTTTTTTCATTATTTTCTCCACCTGAACCATTGTTGACTGTGGGCTTGGATACTTCATCTTGCAGATGCACAAAAGAGAAAGGACATGCAAGGACTACATCAAGGTGAGCATCATTGACTGATCCTGTTGCTAAAATCCAAGCAGGGATGCTGATCCCTGATGCAGTTTCTACAGCAGCGGACCTTATGGTGAATCCAAGACTTCATTCTCTTGGCTTCAGCAAGATCCCTTCAACTGCAAAAACAATTGCTAGTGGGATTGCCTTCAGTTTACAGAAAGAAAAGAGGGGGCTATTTTTATTTTATTTCATTTCATTTTATTTGTTAAAAATGTATATTCTCCATTTTGATGTATTCACATTATTTAACCATCAGGCAAACATCTAGTAAACACATATCCATAATAGAACAATAGTGTTGATCAAGTAAAACTCTTTGACCCACCAAAACAAAACGTGTTGGATTTAGATAGGTCTTTCTCAGAACTTGGAAATGTTAGTGTGTTACATGACAGGTCCCAGAGTTTCCCAGATAATGAACAATATCACATTAGAATGCTAAAATGCAGGACCCTGTTTTCCTATCGCCCGGTTTGCTTTTGAAGAATTCTGGGAAATATAGTTTAGAGTAGAGCCTTTGGAATTCACAGCCAGGGAGGTTATTTTCTTTCCTAATGTCCCAGAATTCTGCAGGAGCAAACTGGGTAATAGGGAAACACGGGCCTGTGCTTTAGAACTGTAATATGATATCGTCTAGTGTCATTGGCTCTGTAAGAGTTTTGGAGGCCATCTGCATGGGTTAAGAACCCCGATTTAGCTAGATGTTGCTCCTGAATGTCCACACAACATTCAGGAACTTCAACCCCTAACCTTTATGCACTTGACTTTATTCATTTGCAGAAGTCAGTGAATGCTTTGGAATGGGTTAATGTGGACAGCTGGACCGACTCTAATTTAAACTGATTCAGTGCTGCCATCCCATAGCACAAGGAAAGGGGGATGTAACCTATATAGGCTGTTATTTGTCACCATGGCAGTGACCATAGAGCTCCAGAGAGCTTCTAATCATTGCTGTGTACCTTTGCTGACATCACAAAGCACCAGCACTACCTGGGAAAGGGATGTAAATTGACTCTCTTCATAACAAACTAAGATGGAGTGACAAGTTTGGCCCTACTGGACAGTCTGAACTCAGCTCCCATCACTTCTTCAGATGGGCTCCAGATTTAGGATCCATGTAGATGGGCCGTAGTCCAGAAGAGCTCTGGAGCAGATCCCTCACATCAGGGCTCCATTCTTTCTGTTTTGTAGGGAAATGTGTTTGACTGTAGTTTTTGATGCACATACATGTACACACATATACATAATCAACATTAAAATGGGCTGAGTTACTACATCAGAATGAGGTCTTGAGGACTAGTTTTAACTCACTGTGACCATGTGCCTTATTTCATATAAAGGAGTTTGCAGGCAGACTTCTCCCAACAAGAGACAGATGATCTTTGAATCATCACCTTATGCTTTGTTCAGTAGTCTTCCCAGGTATCATCCATAGAAAATAAGCCCAATATCCAGACTACACAAAATAGAACAGGTTATTTGTCATTTTATTTCTTATTCCCTTAGTGTCTATATAATATTCAGATTTTCACTAAACAATCTGTTGTCTTTTATTTGTCATCTAATTTTATAGCTTTATCATTTCACCTATTTTCCATGGCTTCCTTAGATGGTCATATAGAGTACATAAGCTTCAATATGTTTTTTTTTAAAGGAAGACAAAAGGTTCACAAAATGGCAGGGCATTTGTGTGAGGAGAAGCTGCCAGGGTGGTTAGGTATGTGTTCCTGTGATGAATAATACAGGAGAGGCTCTAAAACATTCAGTATGTGTGCATGTGTAGTGGGAGGAATCTAAAACTGTTGCAAATGGTATAAATTTTTAGCAATTGAAGCTGTGCTGCTCATCAATGTGCACAGCAAAGCAATGTCCTGGAGTACAGGCTCAACCATGTTACCTAAAGGCAGTGGATAGAAATGGTTGTGGTATCTGGAAGAATAATTAGCTTTTCCCCAGCTACTGAAAACACTTTGGCTTGGATCCAAGTGTAGCTTTCAGTGAACGGAAGCACTCTTTCTGTCCAGGGAAGGCTTTTGATCCAGCTGGGGGTCCTTCTGGCAGAAGGGAAGAGAGGTGAGTTTATTTTTAAAGGGCACCAGGCCAGAAGGAAGGGGGAGGGACCAGCAAAAACTTTGCCCCCCCCCCCCCCCCGGTCCCTACTTTCAGTAGCTGAAATACCACTCAGAAGATCTCCTACGTTTTAGTAAAACAAAGGCAGAATGCAAGACATCGTCCTTTACAACGGAAGAGATGCTTTGAGGGAGGATATCCAGAATCCAATAAAAGAGTACCTTTTGTGTGTGCAGGGCATCCTGTGGCACATATGGACATTGCCTTCTGCTGCTGAAGCAAGGTGTTAGCATAGGAGGTACATCTCTAGCAGTTCTCTATCATAGAAGACAAGAGAAAGTGGCAAAAGAGAGAGATGCCATGGCACAGACAGGCTGGTGAAAAGAAATGAAAGGCTGTGAGCTTTGGATCTCCTTTCTCTCTTATCTTTATCTCATCCCAGGCTGTGGTGGAGACAGTGGACAACCTGCTGCGACCTGAGGCACTGGAGTCCTGGAAGGACATGAATGCCACAGAGCAAGTGCACACAGCCACCATGCTGCTTGACATTCTGGAGGAAGGAGCCTTCCTGCTGGCTGACAATGTCAAAGAGCCTGCCCGTTTTGTCACTGCCAAGAATAATGTGGGTAAGTTATGGACACCTGGCTCGTGTAAAAGAGCTGAAGAGGGAGCTGCCATACACAACAGTGTATGTATGGCACACAGTCTGATCCCTGTATGAAGTCATCACCAGATATCTTCCTTTTTGGGTATACCTACATTGTAGAATTAATGCAATTTGACATCCCTTTAACTGCCATAGTTCAATGCTGTGGAATTTTTGGAGTTGTCATTTGGTGAGGCACCTGCTAAGACAGCTAAGATCTTGCAGAGCTACAACTCCCATGGTTTCATAGCACTTGTTGTTGTTCATTCGTTCAGTCGTCTCCGACTCTTCGTGACCTCATGGACCAGCCCACACCAGAGCTCCCTGTCGGCCATCACCACCCCCAGCTCCTTCAAGGTCAGTCCAGTCACTTCAAGAATGCCATCCATCCATCTTGCCCTTGGTCGGCCCCTCTTCCTTTTACCCTCCACCTTCCCCAGCATAACTGTCTTCTCCAGGCTTTGCTGTCTCCTCATGATGTGGCCAAAGTACCTTCCCTCCATGATGTGGCCAAAGTATCCTTCCCTCCAATGAGCAGTCAGGCTTTATTTCCTGGAGGATGGACTGGTTGGATCTTCTCGCAGTCCAAGGCACTCTCAGAACTTTCCTCCAGCACCACAGTTCAAAAGCATCTATCTTCCTTCGCTCAGCCTTCCCTAAGGTCCAGCTCTCACATCCGTAGGTTACTACAGGGAATACCATGGCTTTGACTATGCGGATCATAGCACTTAGCCAAGGCAATTAAAGTAATGTCGAACTGCATGAATTCTACAATATAGATGCACCTTTGTCAGAATTTTGCGTGAAGAAGCTCTTTGTCATAACTGAGTTGTGTCAAATTTAGGCTGCCCATTTGGTTCAATTATTGTGACAATTGATAAGTTGGGGAGTGGGGAGTACTTTTTTGGCTGCAAAACTCATAATCTCTCAGTCAGCATGAATATTAAGCCCTACTTTTTACATTGGTGAGTGCACTGGTGAGTGTTGAGAGCAGTTTTGTCAGGGAGGATTTAAGCTAAATGCTCTTCCTATCTGGCACCATGTTGAAGACTCTTCTGCTGGGCAACAAAGTGATGTGCACTATCTGTTACTGGAGTAAGTGTAGAAAGCCAAGATATGGGAACCAGAGTTAGGAAAGGCAAAGAAACTAGAGTGGAAGTGTAGACATCAAAGTAATGTGATAAAGAAGGAGCGGTGCTCTTCTCCTCACCCCTGCTTTTCCCTGTGAAGTTTACAGGTATTTCCCTGCACATGTAGAACCTGAAAAATGTAATCTTTGACCCATAAATGCTGGAATCCACCAGGTCTGCGGAGACTCTCTTGCTGCTCCTAAAGTGTGTCCATTGCAGTCTTCTGGGGATGTGCACACACAGAAAACCTAACATACTGACAGGCACTTTCCTTTTTAAAGTGCCTGTCACGGGACATCTCTTGATATTCATGAAAATTTGGTTCTTGTAATCGAGGAAGGAACTAAGTATGACAGAAGGAAATACTCCCTGTCTGAGCCCAAGAGAAACCAAGGAATTTATTAATTAATTGATCCCCTAAAACAGGGGTTCTCCAACTTTTTAAGCTGTGGAGCCCTTTTGAAGGAAAGGTTTCTCATGGAGCCCCAATAAGTGCTTATATTATTATATTTATTATATTATATATCAGGCAGGAGCAAACTTTTGGACACAATCAACGCACTCCTGACAGACAGCCATCCAGCCTTTGAAATAATAGTAGTAATAGGAACAACCCTATGGGCCATCCAGTCCAACCCTCTTCTGACAGGGAGGAAAAGCAAGGAAGGTGCGGGGGTGGGGGGGGGGTCTGTATGTTGAGGAAAGAAGAGGAAAAGGAAAGGGAGGGTAGGAGATTGAAAGGAAAAGGAGAGGAAGGGAAGGAAGGAAGAAGGAGCAGCAGCAGCTCTGGGTATGGTGGCTCAGAAGTAGCCTCCTTGCCCCCCGGAGGCTACCCTTGCAGCGATGACATCAGGCACGAAGGCCACAGTGCCTCGCATCCCCGAGGAGGATGTCCCACTGCCATGCTTCCTGCCGTTGCCTCTGAGAAACCCCTGGTGTCCTTCAGGCCGGGTGACATCCTGGAAAAGCCCTGCTACTACTGAGGAGGAGGAGGAGGGGGAGGGGGGGGGGGGGTGGGGGGGGGGGGGGGGGGGGGGAGGGAGGACCTAAAGAGGGGTTGTTGCTGGGGATGCCTGTGTGGAGCCCCGACCCCACCTCACCACTCTGTGCCCTTTAGTAGCTAACCAGAAAGAGCTGCCAGGCCTTGCACTCAGAAGGTGGTCTCAGAAGGTCTTTCTGGTCAGCTGTTCAAGGATGCTGAGCAGTGAGGTGGGATTGGGGCTGCAGGGGGGGGGAGCAGCGACATCCACGGCAATGCCTCCCCACCAGGCCCTCCCTCCTCCTCAGCAGCAGGGCTTCTCCAGGATGCCAGCCATGCTGAAGGGTATCAGGGGCTTCTCGGAGGAGGAGGCAGCAGGAGGCACAGCTACAGGACACGTCTTCTGCCAAAATAGCTGACCATCGAAGCACATGCCACCAGAAACGCCACGGGCGAAGCACCACCATTGGCGGCAGTGACAGGAGGAGATATAGGGTGTGAGGCAACTGCCCCCCCCACACACACACCTTTCTTCATTGTCCCACTTTCAGCAGTGGTGCTTCCGCACAATAGGAGGAGGGAGGAGGAGGGAAGTGCAGAACCCCTGACTGCTTTGTGGAGTCCTAAGTGTTCTGCAGAGCACACTTTGAGAACGACTGCCCTAAAACGGAGCAAACAATAAAGCTCTAACATAGCTGTAATTAGTTACAAAATGAAAATAGCAATCAACAAATGAATTGGGGTGGGGGTGGGCAGGGCCGTAGCCAGAAAAAAATTTGGGGGAGGGTTTAACATTTGGGGGGGGGAGGTTTGAAAATTTCAGGGGGAGGTAGGGTCACGCTGAAGCAAAGAGCACAGCAGGGGGCAGAGCAGCCTTCAATAGCCTGCAGTTCCACTCCTGTCAACCACCTTCACCAAGTCTGGCCTCCTTAATGAGAGCATTCAACCCCCCCCCCCCCAACTTGGTTGCTTCGCTACATCGGCTATTGCTGCAAGTAATGACAGTGTGAATAAATTGTCAATATTTACTTGAGATAGTGCTTGCAGTACTGGATGGACTCTTAATTTTTTGCGTCTCATAGACTTAGCATGGGGATTTGGTTAACCAGTTAAAATTCATGAGTAAACCAGCTACAGGCCTGGGGGTGGGGAGTCAGGTAGGTGAGGGCTGTGTATAGGTGCCTAGACAGTACCTCACCATGTGTAAAGCATAATAGATTATCACCAAATGTGTTAGTAGCCCAAAAATATGGATGGTAATTTGACAACCACAAAGGATTTGCAGAGCAGAGTGTATAATTAGTCTGACATGATGGCTTGAAACAGAATCACCCAATTTTTTACCTGGTATCCCAAAGAACAGAAACATCTGGAAGTTATATGCTCTGCATATTCTCAAAAGAAAAGATGATGAACTGCTCCAGCTGTCATTGTGCCTGTCTCTTGTCTTCTGCCTTTTCTCATCTTACTCCTCCCTTGCATTTCAGTGCTGGAGGTCTCAGTGTTGAATACGGAAGGGCAGGTGCCGGATATTGTGTTCCCACATGAACACACCACCAGAAATTCCATTCAGCTGTCAGCCAACACAATCAAGCAAAACAGCCGCAACGGTGAGTGATAAATAGGATTTTAGGATTAGGGAGGGAAGAGGTTGCCAGGACTTGGCCAATTTCCTGACATGTCCTGGAAACCATCTTTGCCCTTTGTTTTCCCTCACTCCTTCTAGGGCTTCATTAGATCCTCTCTATTTGTACCCCAATGATATGTCTCTTCTCTCTTCAGGGGTAGTCAAGGTTGTTTTTATTCTCTACAATAATCTGGGATTTTTCCTCTCTACTGAGAATGCTACCATCAAACTGGGTAGTGAGATTGGTCCACTTAGTCCCTCGCTGGTTGTCAACTCACAAGTTATTGCTGCCTCCATCAACAAGGAATCCAGCCGTGTCTTCCTGATGGATCCTGTCATCTTCACCCTCTCCCACTTAGAGGTGAGGATAGTGTGACACTTGGGACCATTGTGCTCATTTATCCACCCTTGGTACCTGGTAATCCATATCCTGTTTCTGCAGACCCCAACCACCACAAAGGATTTTGTGGTTTTGGGTGAGCATTGCCACTACTTTTCTGGCCATGTGTGACTAGAGAATCAATAAATGAGTGCCTTCTCTGTATCAATTCTCTTCCTTTTTTCTTATCTTTCCCTTTTTATTATAACAAACCACTTTTCTGTACTCTGCCTTCTCAAAACCTAGACTCCCTCTGCTACTGTGACACCAACCCGTATCTTGTTCATAGTGGCTCTTATAGGCATACCTCTTTCCTTACAGGACAAAAACCATTTCAATGCCAATTGCTCTTTCTGGAACTATTCGGAGCGCTCCATGATGGGTTACTGGTCCACACAGGGGTGCCGGCTGGTGGAGACCAACAAGACTCACACCACTTGTGCATGCAGCCACCTCACCAACTTTGCTGTGCTTATGGCACACCGTGAAATTGTAAGCCTATGGTTTCTACTGTTGGAAATATGCCAAAATGGAGGCAGAGGAAAATTTTGTTGTTTTTGTTGTTGTTTTTTTGTCACTATCTCAATCACTGTGAATGCCATCTTTCCAATTTATTTATTATGTGCTCTTCATGAAATCAGAATGATATGAAATGCTTGGGATTTAATCCTCTGCTGTTGTTAATAAATATTAGTTGAATTACCAGAATTTAGACAACAACTTCCAGACCACTTTAGTTGGCATAGTCAATAGCTATGCTGGTTGGGTAATTTTGGAAGTTGTAATCCAAAAAAGTTAAAATGTTAGGGTTTGATGAAGTAACTCTAGCATCAGAAGATAGTAATAGGTTTTGGAGTTCATGTAAAGTTCCACCTCTAAAGAAGAAGAGAAGACAAAACAGATGAGGGAAGTTGTATATCCCCCAGCCTCATTTCCTTTCTCCTTCCAGTACCAGGGCCGCATTAATGAGCTACTGCTATCAGTCATCACATGGGTGGGCACTGTGATTTCTCTCGTCTGCTTGGCCATTTGTATCTCTACCTTCTGCTTCCTGCGTGGGCTACAGACTGACCGCAACACCATCCATAAAAACCTCTGCATCAATCTCTTCATCACTGAGCTACTCTTTCTCATCGGCATTGATAAGACACAGTACGAGGTATGTGACAAAATGCTCAAAGAGTCAAACTGAAGGGAATTGAAATCATACTAAGAATGGAACATGATCCAATAGAATAGGAGGAAGATATCCCTGAGATCCATTTGACTTAGTTAATCAACATGCTGCTATCAAGCCAGATCCTTTGTATATCTACCAGCAAGTGAGATGTCCCTAAGTCCCTTTTGGTCTGGCAAATCAGCATGCTGCTAGCAAACCAGATCCCCTTGATTCAGTAAGTGGAAGGTATAATGGGTATACACGTGTGGTAGGCAGCTATCAGGGGAGCTCTGATACACTGAAGACCAAACTGAATTCAATGAAGTATTGGAAGACTTCTTAGAAATCAGAAACAATGTTTTTCATATGTTATGTTTGGAATTTTGACTTGTAAAGCTCAAGGAGTCATAAGAAGACATATTCTGCTTTCCAAATTAATTTGGGGAATGTGTTCCCTCCAGGTATTTAAGCTTTTATATTCCATGATCCCTCACTGCTGGCTATCCTTGCTAAGGCTGATGGAAGTGCAGTGGAATCCTATCTGGTGGATTACAAACTATCCTAGCTCTAATTTGGAGCCCAGCGCTTTCCAAGTCACTTCCTTCTCTCTAATGCTAAATTCTTGTTAGGCCTGTGATCAGTAAAAAAAAAAGGCAAGATATAAGCACTCTAAATAAAATATTAATAATAATAATAATAATAATAATAATAATATAAATTCCTCAAAAAAAAGAAGAACTACACTAACTGGAACTTTCTTCCTTTGTCCCAGATTGCCTGCCCTATCTTTGCTGGACTGCTGCATTACTTTTTTCTGGCAGCTTTTTCCTGGATGTGCCTGGAGGCCATCCATCTTTACCTCATGTTGGTTGAGGTCTTTGAGAGCGAGTATTCCCGTAAGAAATACTACTACTTGGGAGGCTATTGCTTCCCTGCCCTGGTTGTCGGTATTGCTGCTGCCATCGATTACCGCGGCTATGGTACCGAGAAAGCGTGAGTACAAGAGATGTCTAAGACAGAGATTGGGAATGGGTGAGGGTAGCGGAAGGGTCTTGCCAGAGAGGTGGGCTAGTGCATCACCTTTCCCTTTCCTTGGCCCAAAGAAAGAAAGCTTTAAAGAGTGAGTTTAGAAATATTCCATTTGGGAGATACAGTTCTTAGAATCTGGGCCCTGGAGACATGTTTCCATCTTCTGGAAAATATAAAAGAAAAAAATGTCAAATGGAATGCTGTAAACTGAGATGAGGCTAAGGTTTGTATAGAATAGAATAATTTTTATGCCATTGTACATTGTACAACGAAATTAAATGCTTTTCCCCAGCACACATCACAAAAACAATAAACCCATTCCTCCACACTGTAACCACCACCACACACACCCCAATGCCACATCAATGCGAAACCATGGAGTTCAATATAGTTACAGCTCTCTTAATCTTTTTAGTAATAATGTAATAATGTAAAAAATCTTGGGTGAGATGGATCCTTAAAAATGCTCTGAGCTTTCTTAAGCATGAGGGATTTATAAAGTTCTTCCAAAGAGAGGAGAGGGCAACTAACGATTCTGCGTGACCGTATCGTTGTCTACGAACCCACACGTTCACTCCGGTCATCTGGGGAGACCCTGCTCGTGATCCCGCCCACGTCACAAGCGTGCTTGGTGGGGACACGAGACAGGGCCTTCTCTGTGGTGGCCCCCCGCCTCTGGAATGCCCTCCCGAAAGACCTCAGACAAGCCCCTACATTGGCAGTCTTCAGAAAGAATTTGAAAACTTGGCTGTTCCAATGTGCCTTTTCAGACTAGAAACCCCAGTACCAAATCCCAGAAGCACTTTAGTTAGAACCAAGATCACCGCACACCACACTTATACTATAATCCCATATCTCTCCGACACATCAGCACTTTTAATCCCGTACCCTTACTCCGGCCGGCTCAGTTTTAATAATGTCTTGTTGTACTGCTATTGTTATTGTTTTTGCTAAACTGTTTTATTTGCTAGGTATTGTATTGTTGTATTGTGTGGGCTTCGGCCTGTTGTAAGCCGCATCGAATCCCTTGGGAGATGCTAGCGGGGTACAAATAAAGTTATAATAATAATAATAATAATTCTCTGTGCAGTAGTAGTAACCCTTTGGATCGCCTTCCTATCTGCTACTGTGCAATTACAAACCACGTGCAGATGTAATAGGTTAGAACACTCGCTATAGCACAATGGTAGAAAGTCACAAGCAGTTTTTTCATTCAGTTGTTGGTTTCTTAGAAGTCTCAAATAGTACAATTTCTGGTGGGCTCTCTTAACCAACGCCTCCGTATCAACTCCCCAGATCAGATCCTCCTGAACACTGACACCCAGAAACTTAAAACTAGCCGCTCCACTTGATCTCCATTTATGACCAAGGACTGAATTTATGGTCCATTCTTCCTATAACCTACTATGAGCTCCTTGATCTTATTGATGTTAAGAACCAGATTATTTCCCCTGCACCATGAAAGCAGCCGATCCAACTCATCCCAATAGGCAGAATCATCCTCTTCAGAAACAAGGCCCACCACTGTTGTATCATCCTCAAGTTTGATAATGATATTACTCTGATGGACAGGGATGCAATCATGTGTGTAAAGAGGATAAAGCAGAGGACTCAACACACAGCCTTATGGCATCCCAGTGTTGAGAGCTGGAGAGGTATGATTACCTAATGTAACCCTCTGGGAACGTCCTGACAAGAAGTCCATAATCCAGGAACAGACTGATTATGACAATCTAAGTGGCTTTGGTTTTCCAGATGTTTTTGGACTTTAGCACCCTGAATTCTTATCATTGGCTAAACTTGCTAGTGGCTTCTGAATGTTAGAATCAGTAACAGAAGGGAAAGGGCTGAGTCAGAATCATCAACAGGGTGGATACAGCCTTTGGGAGAATTCATAGGATGGTGCCATCTCATGGCAATAAGCTGTGAGTCAATTGAGTGTTTTGATGTCTGCTGTCCTCTTCAGTCTGCATTTGACATTATTCTGCTCTGTTTTGGCAGATGCTGGCTTCGAGTAGATAACTACTTCATCTGGAGCTTCATTGGACCTGTCTCTTTTGTCATTGTTGTAAGTCACTGGGGCTTATTTGGAGAAAAAATCACAGGGTTTTCCTTTAGCAGTTCTGGGTACAGAGTCCTTAAAGTGAATTGAGGGAAGCACCAATTCACAGATCTCAGGAGAGTCCTCTGGAGGCCCTAGTGCTCATCCCACTCCAACCCACATGTTAAACTTCTTGATATGAATTCTCAGGGCAGTCACTGCCAGCCTAAGCATGGTGGTGAGGAAAGCTATTAGTAGTGAGGAAAAGTAATTTTTTTGGTACAAAGGAGACTCTTTCCCTTACACCCAGTTGTGCATATTCCCCAGATCAACCTGGTATTCCTCATGATCACTCTGCACAAGATGATCCGCAACACATCTGTCCTCAAGCCTGACTCGAGCCGACTGGACAACATCAAGTGAGTTAATGTTTTCATTATTTTTTATCCTAAACCCAAACATAAACATGCCTTTATAAAACAGCTCCAGCATCCTCTGACTCCTACAGGGTGTCCTCTACATCTTGTTCTACTAAAGCAATTTATCACAAGGGCGAGAAACACACACACACACGTGCTGCCTTGCACACCCATTTTTGGGACTTCCTGGCACCAGTTTTGCCACCACACCAGTAATTTCAATGAATGGCAATTTTCCTTCAAGAAATGAAGAGAGCATACAACATGTTTTTGTTTTTAGTTAGGCTGTGGGCAGCCCTTCTGAAAGAAAGTATGATTTGTGCTGTCAGAAAGCATTGTGTTAAACACAGGAAAATTCCCATTTGTTTGATTACCATTAGCAAAATCTCTGGTGGGTGTGGGGCAACAGGGCCCGTGTGCTCCAAAAGTAGCCAACTCTGTGTTTTGAGAAAACAGCTCTTTGCACAAAGCATGCAATAGAACAGGACATACTTCAGGTTTGGCTACATAGACACAGAGGAGGCAAAATAGTACAGCGTGGCAAGATGGACTTCAGGACTTCAATGTAGTTAATGCACAGTTTAGCACAATCTGATTTTCCCAACCTGGTTCTTTTCAGACTTCAAATTCTCATAAGCTCAGGCTGGTTAAGGGGATGGAGCACCTAGTTCTAACTCTTTAAAATTGCTAGGAAAAATACACTCAAAAACATTTTTAGCACCTTGGCAAATTGAGATTTTCTAGTGTATTGTGACAGAGAATTCATAGCAGAAAACACAGTCCTGTCTGCATCAGTACTGTCTGAGGTAATATCTTCATAAACCATTACATTTCACTAAAAATGTGTGGTAGCCCAAAATGCATTTTTCCTGTGATGGCAACCTTGCATTACACAAGTTTGCCCAGAACACACTCATGTCTTCTTCTATAGGTCTTGGGCACTCGGGGCCATCACTCTCCTTTTTCTCCTGGGACTCACTTGGGCATTTGGCCTCCTCTTCATCAACAAGGAGTCTATTGTCATGGCCTACCTCTTCACCACCTTCAATGCTTTCCAGGGCATGTTCATATTCGTATTTCATTGTGCACTACAGAAAAAGGTAAGTTGAACTGGATCAGAACAAAAGGACATGATTCATACTTAAGATTAACGAAAATGGCATTGTTGTTTTAATGCATATGTTTTATTTGCTGAATATGTGTTTTGTAGAGCATTGAATTGTGCCTTTATGTGTGCCACTCGGAGTCCACTTCGGGGTGAGAAGGGCGGGATATAAATATGGCAAAAAAATAAATAAATATTAAAGTGGTGACTTGACAGACCTGCAAAGCTAGATTGTGTGACTCTAGTTATATCTGCTGCTCTTCAAAAGAAGGCTATTGATGGCAAAGAAACTGGAATCCAATATGAAAGATGTGACACAGAACCCATTTGATTCAAGAAATTTAAATCCAACAGTTAGTTGATGAATTTATTAAATGTGCATAATTTACATATTATTTAGAGCAATTATTCCAAAAAAGAAGTATAATTTCTTGACATTGAAAGTGTTGTACATATGTATCATGGAAGGGGCATTACAAGAAGCCGTGGACTTCCTACTGTGTAATTCAGAAGGGAGGTAATGCCTCTTTTCAAAACGGTGCTTGCATGTGCATAATAATAATAATAATAGTAATAATAATAATAATAATAATAACACTTTATTTGTACCCCGCTACCATCTCCCCAAGGGACTCGGTGCAGCTTACATGAAGCCAAGCCCAAATATAACAATACAAGCAACGAACAACAATACAAGTAATAATAAAATAAAAAACATAGACAATAAAATATACAACATATCAATAAGACAGCACACAATTAAAAACAGTGGGAAGGCCAAATGTAAAATTAAAATTGGAAGTGATGCTGGGACATGGACGAAAAGGTGATAGTAGTGTTTGTGGAAGGGCATACGAATAGACTTAAAGAAATGTAAAGTGCTTTGGAGGACAAAGTGCTATGAGATCATTATTCCAGGAAGGCACACTGGAACAGCCACGTCTTCAAGCTCCTCCTGAAGACTGCCAGAGTTGGGGCCTGTCTGATGTCTTTAGGGAGTGAGTTCCAGAGTCGAGGGGCCACCACCGAAAAGGCCCTCTCTCTTGTCCCCACCAAACGCACCTGCGAGGCTGGTGGGATCGAGAGCAGGGCCTCTCCGGATGATCGAAGGGATCGTGTGGGTTCGTATATGGAGATGTGGTCACGTAGGTAGGCAGGTCCCAAACTGTTCAGGGCTTTGTAGGTAAGAGCCTGTACCTTGAATTGGGTCCGGTAAATGAATGGCAGCCAATGGAGCTCCTTGAACAGGAGGGTTGACCATATTTATATGAATATGTATTCAATTTTTTTTTAAAAAAATCTATTTTCCGAGAGGGAAAGCTGTTTAGACAATTTTTATTTTACCAATTCATCGATTAAACATTAATACTCTGGTATTGCATGATGGTAAAGCTTGTAACAGAAGAGCTAAAAGTAAAAGTTGAAAGAGAAGAACAAGCACAAAGCACCCTGGTGTTGCTTGAACAATGTGTTTCTTCATTCTCCTTGATGCCTCTTCCTACATCCCAGGTTCATCGGGAATTCAGCAAATGCCTGCGTCATGCATCCTGCTGCCTACGGAGCCCACCAGGAGCCAACCTGGGCTCCCTCAAGACCTCGGCTATCCGCAGCAACAACCGTTACTACACTGGAACACAGGTACATTTGAGCAGAGTGACAGCGGGGTTTCATTACTAAACTGAGGGTCTCTTAGCCAAGGTAAAGGGTCCTGGGGGATTGTGTGATGAATGAGTGTGAGAGGCTAGGAGATATCTCTAAGTCTTGGAGTTCAGCTGCTCTGCTAATTCCAGGATGGTCCTTTTTTCAGAGCCGAATCCGGAGAATGTGGAATGATACTGTAAGGAAACAGACTGAGTCCAGCTTCATGGCAGGTGATCTCAACAGCACACCAACCCTTAATCGAGGTGAGCAGCCTCTTTTGCTCTGTCATGTCTCATAGTCCTTTCCCAAACCAGAATGAGAAAAAATACACTGTGAGAATGTGGGAGCACCTTCCTAACTCTAGGTCGTCAGACTGGACATTCACAAATCCCACCACCACCACATCTCCATCTGATAGAGAAATTCCTGCCCATTTCTTCCTTCCAACTCTATGCCAATATCTTCCTAAGATGTCGCTGTTCCCATTCCCACTCTAATTTTACCCACACAACTATGGGCATTCCCCAAGAGGGCTGCTTCTCTCCCAAATATTTTTTTGCCACCCAAATGTGGAAGGCCATGTTTTCTTCTCTCAGTGTAGTGTTGACATCTTGCCTCTACCTGGTCTTGTAGGGACAATGGGAAACCACCTGCTAACCAATCCCGTGCTGCAGACACGGGGCGGGACCAGTCCCTACAATACACTCATTGCCGAGTCTGTGGGTTTCAACCCCGCTTCACCTCCTGTCTTCAACTCCCCAGGTAAGACACTTGGCAATACAGAGGATGGATTTTGCCTTGTGAAGTGTATGGATACAGAGAGAGAGAGAGAGAGAGAGAGATTTTCAATTGTCTTTGGTGAAGGGTGTTTGTGCAGTAGGAATGCATGCAGATTCTGGTTTTGAATACAATGTTAGTAGAAGACCTTTTCAAGAGAATTTACTCAGGGCTTGGGGCACTGGGGGAATGGGTCAGAAGAAGTTTCTGTGAAGTAGCTTTCCACTCTTTCAGCAGGTAGGAAGCTGCCTGCTATTGGGTCAGTGTTGGTTCAACTCAGCTCAGCATTGCCTCCATCGATTAGCAGTAGCTCTCTAGAGGTTCAGGCAGGAGTGTCTCCCAGACTTACGTGGAGATGCCAGGGATTGGACCTGGGACTTTCTGCATGCAAAGCATATGCTGCTCTGTCCACTTCTGGGAAGATCTGCTCCATCACTCATAATGTGTGATTGTTGGCCTTGGCTGCTTAGGTAACTCTTTCTCTTTTCTCTTTCCCTCTCCAATACTGTTGCTGCCTGCAGGGAGCTTCCGAGAGTCCAGTACGTCCCTCCTTTCCAGTTCCATTTCGCAGTAATGTTTCTTTCATTGCTAGTTTGACTGGCAGGCTGGGGGTGGGCGCAGCAGAGATGTGAGCAAGTAGAGGGTGTGTTTGGCTGCAGCTGTCAGCAGCAGGGAGCCCTGTAAGGAGGACAAGAATGCTGACTTTTCCTGGGTCAGGGGAGGTGGGAGGTCTCCACGCCTATATCCCTTTCTAAGTGGGTGTGGTGAGGCAGCATGGCTCATGCACTTCTGGCTGAAGAGCACTAGATGGCGCTAAAAGCTCCTGCAGAGCTCATTCTCCCTTTCCTTGCATGCTGGATTTAACCAGTGGGACCTGTGGGCATCCCTGCCTCAGTAGGCTAACCATAGCATACCTGACAGCTCCTATATGTCTTGCTTTCTGGCTGGAGACAGCTGGCTCTGCAGCTTTTTTTTTAAAGCAGGCTTTTTTCATTGGCAAAAAAGATTATGTGTCTGCCTCATCATGCATGTGACTGTGCCGCTAAAGTAGGCATGCCTCTGTGGCTCTTCTCCTTCTCTATCACCCTAAGGATAGTTTCTTAGTTGTACTTTTTCACACAGATGTCTGTATCTACTAGCAAACCAGCTAACATTACTCCCAGTTCCATTTGTTCTCACACATATACACCAAACACATGTGCCCCATTAAATACTGTACCCCTCTGCACACAAATCCCCCAAAAGACATCTTTAGAATTCCCAGTACTCAGTTTACATGAATCTAATTCCTTCTGTATCTATTGCAAAATCCTGCCAAAGAGAGCAGAGCAGTAGGCAGATAATAGCAAGCACACATTAAAGTTTTGGAGCCTTGCTTATTTTTAGAACAGTTTTTGCCCTGGTAGGCAAATGCAGTTCCTCTCACCATAAGCAAGCCTTGATTATTCATTTCTGTCTTGCTGGCAAGACAAGGTAGGGCTCTGTGTGTCAAAGGGACCATCTTTCAGAATTATAAGGTTATTTTGGACTGTAAACTTAATGGTCTTACAGGGGCACTTCAAATACTTATTTGTATTATTCTACCTCACTTCTACATGTAGTAATGTAGTAAGCCAACCTTTTAAACTGGAGTGGGAGAGATGTTGAGGCCACAAACTTCTGCCCCAACGCCCTGTATGGAGAGCAACACTAAAGAAAGTAATGCTGTAATACTACCCACTTCCCCAAACGCCTCCTCCCCTTTCTCCTGGAACTAGAGGGGTTGATGACAAAGGCACTTTCAGGACCAGAGGAGAAGTGGAGGGGGTCCTGCATACATGTGGAGATTGTAATGTGTGAATCACATCTAACCAGGGGAAACATACAACTTCTTGATGAAGCCTGATTTGTTGAAATACGCTCACCATTTCAATTCAGTTTAACCAATAATCCTTCCAGCATCAGGTTCACATTCACGTTTTTGGTTTTCCAGCTGTTGATTTGTTTGGAGGCCAGTGCCCTCTTGTTCAATATACACTGAACAGTTCTCTCAGTGTAACAATTCCCAATGTCTCACATATGCAATTTATTAGAAGTTATCTTCCGTTGCTTCAGCACAAATACAGCATCGGTCCTTCAGCACCTGCACATTCTGTTTTAAATGCTGCTCAAGATATGGTTTTCTCCCTCCCTTGCACACACTGTCTAGCCATTTCTAGCTCAGTTCCTGAGTGATCGCTGCCACTTCCAGACCTCAGGCTGTTGTTTCCTTCCTTCTTCACTGTCTGATGCCTTTATCTGTGTCCAACTTACAGAGCACCCTCTGAACAACAGCCGAGACGCCTGTGGCATGGACACCCTCCCGCTCAATGGCAACTTCAATAACAGCTACTCCCTCCGCAGCGGTGACTTCTCAGCCGATGGCACCAAGATGGCTGATTGTCGACGCAACCTGAGTGACGCTGCTGCCTTTGAAAAAATGATCATCTCTGAGCTGGTGCACAACAACTTGAGGGGGGGAGGCAGTGGTGTGGTCAAGGGAGGTGGGGGTTCCACCGAGACCCCCAACCCCCCTGGGCCACCTCCCCCTCCCAATGTAGGAGCAGGGGGAGGGGGTACCAACAATGAGGATGATGCCATTGTGCCTGACGCCCCTTCCTTGACCCATGAGGAGAACATGGAAATTGAACTCATGTACAAGGCCTTAGAGGAGCCGCTCTTGCTTCAGAGGGCACAATCCATCCTCTATCAGAGCGACCTGGAGGAGTCGGAGAGCTGCACAGCTGACCTGACAGAGGGGGGTGATGGCCAAGCCCCTTCGCCTAACAGGGACTCTTTATACACCAGTATGACTAACCTGAGGGACTCCCCATATCCGGACAGCAGCCCCGAGGCAGTTGGGGAAGTACTTCCTCATGCCCAAGCCATCAATGAAATCTACTACACCAACCGGCCAGCCTTGGTGCCACGCAACCAGCTCCAGGCCTACTACCAAGTTCGAAGACCCAGCAATGATGGCTATTTGGTCCCAGGAAGCTTAGAAAACCCAGCAGTGGAGGGAGATGGCCAAATGCAGCTGGTGACCAGCCTCTGAGGAGCTGAAAAGGGACTGAGGGACCACATCCCCCCCCCCAACCCCAATACAGCATCTTTGCTGTGACCTGGACATTTTCATTTTTTTCCTGGAGGAAAGGGTGGGGAAGAAGAGAATGAAGCAGGGCAGGGGAACAAATAGAGATGGGGTGGTGAAAGGAAGAGCTGAGGCAGAGGGCTTCTCCAAGAGGGAGGGCAGCCATTTTCTCCGTCTTTCCTTCCATCCAATTAATTTTCCAGACACAGAGTGGCACATTACCTATTTGGTTATATCAGTTTATTTTTCAGACAAATGCAATTGAAGAATGAGAACACTATTTAGGCAAAATAATAATAAATGATCAGACATATCTCAACAATACCTCCTAGATGGGTGGGTGGGGATGGAACAATAAATTGAAAATGTTTAAAAGTCAAAATAATTAATTTTTTAAAACCAGTATAAAAGCTAAAGCCATGAGGGTGCCACATTCAGAAAATGGGGCACTTGCTGTGCCTCCTGGCTCAGCACCATGCCTCCCCCCCCCCTTCCTGACCCTTGACTTTATTGGTGTGTCTTTCAGAAAAATATAAGGGACAAACAAGAGCTCACAGCCCTTGACCTTAGATGTAAACATTGCCAAAAAAAATTAAAAGGGAAAGGTACAAAAGAGAGGAAAGGTTGTTCAGAGAATCCTAAACCCAGAACCTGCCTTCCAATAATTCATGGCTTATTGACAGGATTTGTATTTAAGTTTCTACTTTCTTTCAGTATGGCAGAGCCACAGGAAAGTTACATTTGTTTCTTTCTTTTTAAGCCTGCATAGGAATGTTTGACTTGCACCATCATTTCTGGGGAAGAGAGAAGAAGTAGGATCAAGGTGGCTATCTTTAGACTTCATTTTTATTTATTCTGGTTGCATTTGGGAGCAGCCCCTCATAGTGCTTTGCTGTGGTCACCTGAGATGAAATGCAATCTCACAAAACAAAAGATGGAGGAGGGAGGGGAGCCGGGGCCCTTCATCCTGCGTGATCCATTTAACTTGGTTCCATTCGCAGTTGGCTAACCCACCACCCAAAATGGCCTGCTGAGAACCTGCTCCAAAATTAAGCAGTGATGCAAGAAGAATAATCTTCTTTCTGTTTCATTCCTGCCTATAAAGAAGCAAACTTCAGGAGTACCTTACAATGCAAATATGGCTGCTGTCCGAACACATTTGGGACCATGTGGGGAGAAATAGAAGAGTGCCGATTTTCCCCTAAACTGGATGGATTGTCTTTCAGAAAAAAATGACAAAACAAACAAACAAAAACAGCAACAACAGGAACGGAAAAAAAAACACTAACCCAGACTGCACTTTTTTCCCCAAAGGAAAAAGAAATAGGAAAGTCTCCCTCTTCAAGCACAACTCCGACTTTTCTCACCAGCTCTCATCCCAAGAGAGTTTGGGAAGCCACCAGTCTCACCTGGAGGCATCATATCTCTGGGGCGGGCGGTGGGCGGGGTCAAAGTGGGGTTGGGAAGGGGATGTGTGATACCAATTGAAATGCTGTAAATACGGAATCCTAAAAACAACAACAAAGAATTGATTTGCTCACTTGAAAAAGGAAACAAAACCAAGGAACTTTTTTGTCTGGGTTTTCAATATATCTATATCTATATAATATATATAGATATATAGCACGCAACTCTGCTCTGGCCCCACGTGCGGTTGCGGGAGTATGAACGGGAAAACAGAAATCCCAGTTTTGATGGAGATGATGCGGGGAGCCCACCAAGAGCAGATTTTTACAATCAAAAAAGGAAAAAAACATTTTGGCACAATTTTTATGTAATATATAACATATACTGCGTCATTTCTGTGACCTTGAAGCATTTCCCCTTTCCTGCCAGATGAGGTACCTTTTTCATACATCTCTACATGAAGTTGGTTATTTTCTCATTTACTGCCACTTTGGAATTGTGGGTGGAAAAATATAAAAAAAAACATTTTTTACTGCAAGACCCAAAGATGCTGTAATTCTGTAGTTTCCATGAGAAACTTTTCCTTTTGGGAATTTGGGGGCAGGGGACAGAATGTTGTTTCATTTCACTTTTTTAAAGCAACAACATCATTTGTATTTATTTTTAAACCTTTTTCTGGTTACAATATATTGAAAAAGAAAAGGATGTGAGGTTTTGCTACATAGAGCCTTGACTGTTCATTTTTTGTTTTATTTGTGTTTCTTTGTCACCTCCCAACTAGTAGCTAGCATTCATGAGAAATTGTCAAAAGCATCGAGGGTTTGGCATTGCTGAGGACTGCCTTCCTAGGTGTATGCAGGGCCTTCCCTTTATTTCACTGTACTGTGTTGGGGAAGAAAAGCCACCAGTGAACTCCTTGGCATTACTTTCCATCATTTTGCCAAGTGCCACTGCTAAGACCCAAGGACTCAATACTAAATTGCTCTGGATGGAGGGAGCACAACCCACTGGTTTCTCCTTCTCCATCAGGTGATAAATCTAATCCTGATATTAGCAGAATTTACATATTTATTTGTCTTCAGATGCTCAATAATCCTCTGATTTGTCATTTCTAGCCTTTTTGTGTAGTCCAGTCCCATAGCAAATGCATGCTTCCGGCACCCAAAAACAGCCCTTCAGCATTTTTGGTAAAGAAAAGCATGCCCTATTGCTCAAATCTGGGGTTTTTTTTTTCCCTATCAAGAGCTGAGATAGTGATTGACTATAGCCAGCAACAGTGAAACAGACAAAAGTGCATGTGCTGAGTAAGCTCTGCCTTTGGAACATGTCCTGCTCAAGTCTGTTAGATTACCTTTTAACTCTAAAATAAAATAATTTAATACAGCTTTCGAGCACAGAGCTTGAACAAAACACCTTTTAGAAACTAGGGAGCCAGCATGTTGTAGAATTACTCACTTTTCCACTTAGGGGTTTCTGCTTCCTGCCAGACATCCCCAGCCCAAACCACATGGTTATTGCACTTCTGCATTGAGAAGCAGGAGAGTTGCAAATCTTTTGTTTTCTCATCTGGTTAATTCCTTCAGAAATCACAGTAGGTTGGGCCCTACTTTATTGTTTTACAGGATTTGGGTTGTATTTTTCCTTGGGATCTTTTTGCATGAAAGTTGGAAGATTCCTGATAAACATATCTGCCCAAATGCCTTTCTGACACTCTTGGTCCAGAAGTAACTGGTTCCCTTTTTTAGCCTTGTAAAGACAAGTTCTCACCATCTACCTGTTTTCTCCCCAGACTAGTTCTGATCAGTCCTCTCCCAAATACCAAATAGCCTTATTCACCCCACTTTCATTTGCTGCATTGGTCCAAAGAAGGTTCAGGAACCTTCTTGCCATTTTTACTAAGAGGTACCTCTGTCTGGAAACCTCATATTTAAAAACAACCAAAACCAAAGACATATCTGCCCTCTTGTACCCAGTCAGGAGTAAAGTGGTGGAGACTGAATATTTAGCAGCTCAAGGCTTTGCACTTTCCAGCTCAGTCTTAGCTTAGAGTTGCTTAAACCACAGTTCAGATTTGGACATTGAATTGGAAGGAAAACAGTGCTGCTGCTTGTTCCGCCCTGACAAAAGAGTAATGGGAGAATGTGAACCAGCTCTTTGGAGGATTCGGCTGTAAGATAAAGGCTTTTAGCATCCTGACTTGGGGATCGATCTTGATGCCACCAGCTGTGAGAGTGGTGACACTGAGCCTCTTTTATTTTGTTGGTTGCAACCTTTGGGCCTTATCATTGCCCAATTTCTTTTTCCATTGTTTACCTCAGTGCAAAGTACTACTTACCCTGTGTGACTATACAGCTTGTGAGTTGCATGGACACACAGCCATTGTAAGTTTGGGCTTGAAGGCAAAAGCTAAGAAGAATCCTGTAGGGGAGCGCAAAGGCAAGTTGTTCTGGAACAGAGGAGAGGAGATATTTTCTCCTCTGGTGCCAAAGGGGACAGTGGGGAGGGTTGTCCAGGACCAGTTCCAGGACTGAAAGTGTCATGAGCAGAGTACCTTTGGGTGAGTATCTCCTATTCTGTTGCCACTGCAGCAGGAGAAGCTCTCCCAATAATGGTGGCTCGAGTCTGGGTGTTTTTTTCAAAAAAATTCCCCACAGTACTTCTGACACAAGGGAGTTACACTGCCTTGAGGGTCTTATGGGCTGTTTAAATTTCAACCATGGGGTGCTAGAAACCATGCTTTGAAAAGAAGATGCAGGATAGGCATTAGCCAGTGGTGGGCCCTAAACCCAAATATCTGCCCATGGATATAATGGATTGGCACTGGAACTGCCCGCTCCTATTATCATCTAACCACCCACTCACTCCACCTTGGTTAGTATTCCAGCTTCTAACCACTAAGATTAGGTCTGGAAAAACTAGCTAAGCAGCTCAGTGCAGAGAAATGAAGCTACTATTTGGACAGGATGTTTCCAAAAAGAAAAGAATACATAGTTTGCTCAGACTGTAATTATTTTGAGATGCTGCTTTCATTTTTCATTCCATTCAACATCATTTTAAAAACTCTTTTCTACCCCAACCCTACCCCTGTCCTCCTTTGTAAGGATGGTTTTTGAAGCCTTTGACAATTTTAGTTACTCCTTTTTTACCTTTTCCTTTTCTTCAGTCTTTGGGAGGCGGGGCAGAATTTCAAACTAATTCTGGGTGCATCAAAGATAATCAGAATGATATATTGCAACTTTTATTATTTTTAATCATTTTCCTATTATTCAATGCAAAATTGTTAAAAATAATGAGCAGCCACAGCAAAGGTGATCTTGCATTTTCTCTTTGCTCTCATTTTTCCTTTTGTTATCTTTTAACTTCAATGGGAGTTTGTGTTTCAGTCAGTGAAGATGACTTTCCCTTGTATACAACTCTGACAATACCAATCTCCTCCAATTCATGGGAGAGGGGGAGAGAAAGGAGCTCACTTATTCAAAGGGTAGAGGTTTGATCCTTAGGGCTTTCCTCTGGTTCTGCATGATGCAGAAATCTGGCAGCATGTCTTGGGTCTAATAGTGCAAGGTCTGGAAGGACTGCCCAATATAAGCAGCATTGTCATTCTGTGTTGGAATGAATAGGACAGGGAGATATATTGGGCTCTGTACAGATTGATTACTACCATATCTTTGTACAGAATTCATTTTTTGTATTCGTATCTTTTATTTTATCACTGAAGTCTTACTTTGGCAATTACCTTTTTAAAAGGTATCATATGTTGTTAGTGGGGAAAGGAGTCAGGAAAGATTATGTGATGGTTCCATACCTTGTGAGCCTCATGAGGTGGCAATTGCCAAACTGTTTTCATGGCTGCAGAGGGCAAGACCTTCTTAATAATGAGAGAGCCCATGAAGCTTCCCATTCAACAGTTTCTACTGTTGGCCACAGATCTAGCCATGGCGGACACTTCTTTTTGCTAACAGCCCATCAAGCTGAAGCTTCTGGACTACAGTTTCTCTTTCTTTATCCTCTCATCAAAGACTTATGCAAATCTGTGAGCTCAACTCACTTTAGTAAAAAGTATTCCTGCTGGCTTCTCAAAAGCCATCTACCATCACTGCCTTGGTGCCATTAAGACCAATGGGCTAGTTAACCCCAATTAATCCCCATTAGCCTTTGGGCCAACATATCATGGAGAAGATGAGACATCGTCTAGGGCAATGGCTCCCATTCTTTGGAAAATAGTTGGGGACCACCAGCCTCTATGCCTCACACCTACTGCCCTGCACTCTGCTCATCTAGGCCACCTCTGCCACCTCTCTAATTGGCTGCCAACAAGTCAAAATGAGGGGCACTTATGCACAAGCTAGTTTAGGACAGCACTACCTCTAGGGCAACTTTAGAACTCAGACTGTGCTGTCAAAAAGCCATTCTGAGCTGGAATCACTGGGCATAGCAGGACCCAGGCCCTCTTTCCTTCTTGCATGGGGGTGAAATGCCCATCCTTCTCTGCCAGAAACTCTCAGGTTTCACCAACTCCGAGAGTGGATTCTTTTCAAAGTCTGTTGGGGCGAGGGGGGGGGGGTGGTGGTGACAGCTATAAAACCTAACAACTCTTGAAAGTGGAGAATCACTTGCCTTCCCCAAACTGTATGAACAAAGCATATGGTTGAAACAGGGAATCCATATGATTTGTTACAGTGATGTCTCCTGCTGGCTAAGACAGCCTTGGAAAGGTTCCGTATACTCTGTTGACGCAGGCCTAAATGGTGTATCCCTGTGTCTTAGATTGTGTCTCACACTCCTGAGTATGCAGTAGTTGAAACCATACGTGCAAGGCAGCCAAATACCACTTGGTGGGCAAACATACTAATTCATATTCCACTAGACAGTCCTAGTTAAGGTAGCTATCATTAGAGAGAGTGGAGTAAACACCTTTGAAGCAAATTTGTCTGGGGAAGGGGTAGTAGCAGCTTTCCTCTTGAGACCCTGTCTGCTTCCCTCTGTTGCAAATGTGCTGTATATGTCATATGGCCTGTCCTAGGGCCCAACACTGGCCTGCTGTCTCAGGTGTGGTGAAGGCTACAATCCCATTGAAAAAAGAGTCAACTGCTAATCCAGTTAGCTTCTATATGGGGAGGACGATGTGATATTGTATTTTTGTCTCATGCAGCAAAATGTTGTGGGCTGGCCCTTACTCTAGATATGGGAATCGTCCTGCCAGAGAGAAGCAAAGCCATAATTGCTTACACTGGAACAGGAACAGGAATATAAAACAGGAAAGGATGCCTGTTGACAGAACAGGAAATCAGATTAAGTCACATTGCCTCACGAAAGTTACCCTAGTCTCCATAGTAATTCCCAGCAAAATTTCCCTCCCGTTTATTGGTGTGAAGCTGTGCCTTTTGAATGGCAGCAAAAAGGCCTGCGCCCAAGAGCCCAAGGCCTGCTGGGAAGGTTTGTGATTCATTCCCTCCCTCATTGGTCCCTCAATGTCCCCTTCTACAGGTTGGTGCTGATCCATTTCCTATCTCCACACCATTGCTTTTGCCCACTTCGCCTTTTTTTGTTCCATTTCTCTGTCTTTCAGTTCCCTTCCCTTCCTTTCAACATGCCAAACCAATTTTGGGTCGAGTGCATTAAACAGAAAAAAATATAATAATGAAAATTTTAAAAATATTTAAAAAATGGAAACTTGTTGAGTTACAAAAAAAATTAAAACAATAAAGAAAATATGATTTCTTGGAACTGCAAGTAGTTGTGAATCTTTCTTTGTGGTTCAAGGGGTCCAAGAGGACAAAGCGGAAAAGAAGCTGTGGAAAAGATTGTACATTAAGCACTTATTTTAAAACAATGGGAGGGGGCACTTCTATACTTGAGGCTAGTTTAGAATGCTAACTCTTGACTCCTAGTCAAAGAGTTGGAAGAGACCCCAAGGCCCACCTAGTCCAACCTCTTTCTGCTACGGTGCAGACAATACTTTTATTCCTAGATCTCAGGGGCCAGAGCAGGGGTCTCTAAACTAAGGTCTGCAGAACAGATGCAGCCCTCCAAGGTCATTTACCCAGATCCCACCCTAAACTTTAGACTTAGGGGAGCCCTAAGTCTGAAGTGACTTGAAGGCACTCAACAACAACAATCCTAACTAACTTGACTACATTATTCGAAAGCAGGCCCACACTTCCCATTGAAATACTGGTAAGTTTATCATGGTTTAAATTGTTCTTTGTTATAAATATTGTATTGTTTGGTTTTGGTTTTTTATTTTTGCACTACAATTAAGATATGTGCAATGTGCATAGGAATTTGTTCTTATTTTTTCAAACTATATTCCAGTCCCCTAACAATATAAGGAACTGTGAACTGGCCCTCTGCTTTAAAAGTTTGAGGATCCCTGGTCTAAAGCTGCTTCTCCTAAGAGAGGGAAGGAATCTCAGCAAGTAGATTCCTTCCCTCTCTTAGAAGAAGCAGCTTTAGACCAGGGATCCTCAAACTTTTAAAGCCTACCTGTCATCTGTCTCTCCCTTTGCAATGTGAGGTATGCACATACCTCACATTGCAAAAAATGAGATGTTGAAATCCTTCTCACACACAACTCTTACTCTTGTGATACAGTGCCTTGGTCAGTTTGCCTGCCCCTTTTCTTTGGATTCCTGAACTCTAGTAAAAAAAAAAACTCAACTGAGGTTTCTAAGTTATTACAATGCTAGACATTTGGCAAGTGAAAGAAAATTTCATGAGGTGCAGAATATTTATTTTGAAGACAATCTTGGAAAAAGTTTATTACACTGCAAAAACTTTGTTTTTGCAGGACATCCTGCAGCACATGTTGCTGTAGTTTTTCAATGAATATTTCATAGAGTCTCAATCAATACAGTTTGTGTCACCCACAAAAATGAAGTTTCTTGAGTATAACAACCACTTTCAAAGTAAGTACCACACAATTAAACAGAAAATAACAATTTCAAACCGGGAACAGAAATGTTTTCAAATACTGTGTATTAGTTGGATGCCTGCCTTTTCTTCTTGATGTTTCTTATTTTTTGGATGCATATTACTTTGATTGTAAATTAAACTGTTGTTTTTTGGTCAGAGGGGAGAGAGATAGACGACTTCCATGTAGCAAAGCTAGAGATTGAAGTCCTAGCTGGAGTTTTGATTGCCACCCAACATCTTAATTCTGCTAGCCATACTAACACTATCAACAACATGGTTACATTGAGGGCAAGACCAGTACCATTATTACAGGCTGGCTGACAATAATGGTCTTAGTCAATTGATTATTAGCGTAATATTTCTTGTGGAAGGTGTGATTTCATTGTATCTTCAATGTACAGTATATGATATCTATAGATCACTTAAGACTATTGATGGTTTTCATGATGAGGCAAGAACAAGAGGACTAGGATGATGAGGTAGGTGGTATGGTTGATATGGACAGTGCTAGGATGCTAGGTCAAATGGAACAAGACTCCAAGAATGCCATTAGCTGCTCCATTCCCACCCCAATCCCAGTCCCAAGGAAAAATACTGCACATACTCACATTCCCTGATGCCACCAATTGATAGCAGGGGTGGTGAATGCAGATATTTGAATTGTAGTTCCAGTCAGTGTCATGGCTTCCTACCAGCCACCACAGTGGACTCAGAGATTATGGACTTTGTCTTTTGCCCAGGTCCTTGTACTATGAGGTATTGTTTCCGCACTTTCTTTACCTCAGCCAACTCAAAACAGAACCACAGGATGAGATGAAATGTTTGAACTATAGCACTAGGAGACCTCAATACTCTGAAGCACTAAATTTGCTCTAATTTTGGAAGCTACTCGGGGTGAGGCCTGGCAAGACCTTGGATGGTAGACCACCAAAGAACAACAGATATTATTGGCTGTCTTTCAGTGGAAGGCAATGGCAAATCACCTCCTTGCCAAGAAAACCTTCAGAAACTCATGAGGTCACCATATGTTGACAGGTATCTTGAAGATACATACACATGAGGGGGAGAAGGGTCTTTTTAATGCTTCCACACTTGCCATTCGCTTTATCCAAATCCTACATTAAGAGAGAATAGTAGCTTAAGGAGATGACCTTGGGAAAATGTAACTGTGGGTTTAATACCCTTCCCTAGCACAGGGCGTAGCTTACAGCTGCAAATATGGTGTTTTAACTGTGAAATATCCAGCCCCATATCTCTTGTCTGACTTAAGAGTGCATTCATGTGGACTGGGCTGCCAATATTCTAAATGTTTCTGCAGTCAATGATCTGGCCCTTCTGCTGCTCCCTGCTGGCTTGCAATAAGGAAACGGTCACTATTCTCTGTTTTACCAAGCATTTTAATGAAGCTCAGTGCTGGAAAGGAGATGTGGATGTTCATCACTTGCCTACGCTATAGATCCAGGAACCAAAAAGGACTCCCAGTTTGGCTGCAAGGTGACTCTGTCATGTAATTCATAAGACTACAGAATAGAGGGCCACAGTGTGAAAGATCAGGGGAGAAATGTTTTGTCTGTTAGAAAGAAGAGGAAACGTAAAGTAATTTAAAGACGAGCCTGTTGTTATTTTCTTGTTGGAGATAAAACAGAGTTTGATGGATTAAAATAGAAGAGCATGGACCAAAGGCCAGAATTATATTATTAGTTTAACTAAAGGAGTTCCATATAATTAATGGGATTTATCTATGTATTGATTCACTATTCAGCAATTGATGCTGTGGGTCTACTCTAATCGGCAGTAACAAAGAGAATTCAGACCAAAGAATCTGGGATACAGAGTTTCAGAATTCTGTTTTCAGCTTTGGCCAAACACAAAATGGAAGGAAATATAACTGTACAATTAGCATGCTTTTGTGCTTTCAGTGTTTGTTTTTCCATTCCCAGTATTGCATACAGGCCTATTGACTTCCATGTAGAGATCAAAGCAACAGCTTATGCAATGAGGGCATCTGGTTATGAGGAGTCTATAGTGGGAGTCAATTTCACACCTTGTCCTGTGCCTGACTACTTGGAAGCAAGTCACATTTTCTCCTGGCCTAAGGATGCATTGAGCTGAGACTTAGGGAGCATCTACCCTGTAGAATTAATGCAATTTCACATCATTTTCTGTGCTATGACTCAGTGCTCAGGCCCGTAGCCAGGATTTTTATTCGGGGGGTGCTGAGTTTGATTCAGGGAGGGGGGCTGAGTTTGATTCGGGGGGGAAGTGAGGATCTACCCTACCAAACCTTTTCATATCGTTATCCCAATACTCCCATGCATACGGGATATATTGAGCATGGTGATCAGATCATGATATGAATAAACATAACCATTTAAATAATGTACCAGTAAGGCCTCACGGGCCACCCTGAGAATTTCAGGGGGGGGATGATGTCTCTCAAGCCCCCTTCCCCCCAGCTACATGCCTGTCAATGCTATAGATTATTGTTGTAGTTTTATGTGTCTTCGACCTTCGCTGCCAATGAGTTCTTATGCCTCACCAAACTACAAATCCCATGACTATTAGAGTGGTGTGAAACTGCATTGTTACTACTGGTTCTTTCCTTTTGCATATTCCTTTGTTCATGGCTCCTTGTAAGGAACTGAACTGAGCAGTCCAGGATTGTTTCCTTCCAGAAAATGATGCATAGACGCAGGCACAGAGGCTGGATTTCTCTCAACCTTCGGATTATGCGATAAAGATCATTTTACCCCTTCCAAAATGCAAAAAAAACCCCCAACAGTCCATAAAATATTGAATTAGAAGAAGAATGCAAACCGTTTTCTGAATGCACATTTCCATTGTGACTTCCGCATTGGAACGATAAACTTCTGTCTTTAATTAGCACCATAATTTTTCATACGGTTTAAAAATAAAACAGGTGGCATGTGTTATGCTGCTGGCTGCAAGCATACAAACATCACCAAGACAGATGGTCTTTGAGAAGTCTAAGAAAGGCTCAAAGTTATTTTTAATTAGTACAATTTGGGCTCTTTGTGTGGCTGTGTGCACGGGAAGAGGCAGGAGCCCTCAAATAACTAGGACTTGAAATGGGGCTTCACAGAGCCTGGAGAGTCAAGTATGGACTGCCCAAAGTCTTTCCTCCAGTGGCAAAACTGCACAGGTGCCACTGCTGTGTCTCTGAACAGATGCTTTTATTGATGTTCAGCATCCTTGGTTTTATTTGATTTTATTGTAATGTGTTGTTGGGCTTGGCCTCATGTAAGCCACCCTGAGTCCCCATTGGGGAGATGGTGGCAGGGTATAAATAAAGATTTTTATTATTATTATTATTATTATTATTATTATTATTATTATTATTATTATTATTATTTTACTGACCCACAGCAAATGAGATCTATATGCTGGATTTCGTATCATAAAATCACAAGTCGAACACTTCCCAAGCGTCTAGGACTGTGTGATGTATTTTCGAATGATGCGCGCAGATCCAAGTAAGGTGGTCTTGCAATTGACAGATCATGATTTTGTCGATGTTTATTGTTTCCAAATGCCGGCTGAGATCTTTTGGCATGGCACCCAGTGTGCAAATGACCACTCGGACCACCTGTACTGGTTTATGCCAAAGCCTTTGCAGTTCGATTTTGAGGTCTTGATAGCGGCTGAGTTTTTCCTGTTGTTTTTCCTCAATCACCCAGTATGGCGATATCAATAATCTAGACTTTTTTCTTTTGCACAATTGTGATGATGATGATGATGATGATTATTATTATTATTATTATTATTATTATTATTATTATTTGCTCACAATC